CGTTGAAGATGGTATGGTTGCGTTTATTTGGAATTGCTTGTTAAATGTGATTTGCGTTTTTTATCTTCGTTGTCAGCTTCCTGAGGATTGTCTCTGGGAAACTTTCACTCTGGGGTACATCCTTGATTTTGCAGTCATTGTTGCATTGTGTTTCCTAATATTGCCTTAAGTACGTGTAATGATGGTAATTCTTGCTTTGATGATAGTAACAGAATGACAGTAGCAGCAGCAGCAGGAACAGCAATAGCAGCAGCGGCGGCAGCAGCAGCGGCGGCGGCAGCAGCAGCAGCAGCAGCAACAGCAAGAACAGCAATAGCAGCATATATATATATATATATATATATATATATATATATATATATATATATATATATATATATATATATATATATATATATATATATATATATATATATATATGTATGTATGTGTATGTGTGTGTGTGTGTATTTAGATATAGAGATACAACAGGTGTGTGTGTATACTCTGGTCTGTGCCAACTTAGTTTCCTCTGATATACTTGACGTCTTGATATACACCTTCTAAGGATAACACAAGAAAGTCACTGCGTCATCAAGAACTGTCTGTCTTATTTCCAAAGTGGTCCTCAGTCTTGTCCCCCAGGATGCCACCCACACCAGTCACCTACTTACTTGCTAGGTGAACGGGACAGCAGGTGTAAGGAAACACGTCCAATGTTTCACCTTTGCCGGGGATCGAACCACGGACACTCAATGTGTGAGGCGAGAGCGTTGTCTACCAGGCCAGTTGATGTGTTAATCTATACCTCCTGGCCCCTCAAGGAAGGTTCCTTGATGTTGGTGAGGGGCTCTTGATTTAGGGAATTGGATCTGTGCTCCAGTTCCCCAAATTAAGCCTGAATGCCTTCCACATCCCCCCCAGGCGCTGTATAATCCTCCGGGTTTAGCGCTTCCCCCTTGATTATAATAATAATATACCTCCTGGGCCTCTTCATGCGTTGATCTATACGTCCTGGGCCTTTTGATGTGTTGATCTACACCTCCTGGGCCTCTTAATGTGTTGATCTACACCTCCTGGGCCTCTTGATGTGTTGATCTATACGTCCTGGGCCTTTTGATGTGTTGATCTACACCTCCTGGGCCTCTTAATGTGTTGATCTACACCTCCTGGACCTCTTGATGTGTTGATCTATACGTCCTGGGCCTTTTGATGTGTTGCTCTCTACCTCCTGGGCCTCTTTGGAAGGCTGACTTCAAGATCTCCCAGGTTTCTGGAGGGAGTTAAACTACAGTGATTTATTATTATTATTATTATTATTATTATTATTATTATTATTATTATTATGAGTATTTCGAGGCTTCAACTGTGATTCCAGGAAGGTGAGTCAAGGTCTCGTTTCTTAGACAGAAATCCCTTGACCCTCATCAAGGTAACTCATGGAAAGATGTACCTCGCTAGGGAAGGTAATTCTTAGGTCGAGGTGATCCTTATCTTGTTTTATTCTGCCGACCACGAGACACCACAGTCTAAATTGTTTGATATAAATAAAAGATGACACATAAACCTGAAGTTACTCTACAGTACTATACTATAGGACTGAAGTTACTCTACAGTACTGTAGTATAGGACTGAAGTTACTCTACAGTACTATACTATAGGACTGAAGTTACTCTGCAGTACTGTAGTATAGGACTGAAGTTACTCTACAGTACTGTAGTATAGGACTGAAGTTACTCTACAGTACTGTAGTATAGGACTGAAGTTACTCTACAGTACTGTAGTATAGGACTGAAGTTACTCTACAGTACTATACTATAGGACTGAAGTTACTCTACTGTACTATACTATAGGACTGAAGTTACTCTACAGTACTGTACTATAGGACTGAAGTTACTCTACAGTACTGTAGTATAGGACTGAAGTTACTCTACAGTACTATACTATAGGACTGAAGTTACTCTACTGTACTATACTATAGGACTGAAGTTACTCTACAGTACTATACTATAGGAGTGAAGTTACTCTACAGTACTGTAGTATAGGACTGAAGTTACTCTACAGTACTGTAGTATAGGACTGAAGTTACTCTACAGTACTATACTATAGGACTGAAGTTACTCTACAGTACTATACTATAGGACTGAAGTTACTCTACAGTACTGTAGTATAGGACTGAAGTTACTCTGCAGTACTATACTATAGGACTGAAGTTACTCTACTGTACTATACTATAGGACTGAAGTTACTCTGCAGTACTGTAGTATAGGACTGAAGTTACTCTGCAGTACTATACTATAGGACTGAAGTTACTCTACAGTACTATACTATAGGACTGAAGTTACTCTGCAGTACTGTAGTATAGGACTGAAGTTACTCTACAGTACTATACTATAGGACTGAAGTTACTCTATAGTACTGTAGTATAGGACTGAAGTTACTCTACAGTACTATACTATAGGACTGAAGTTACTCTACTGTACTATACTATAGGACTGAAGTTACTCTACAGTACTATACTATAGGACTGAAGTTACTCTACTGTACTATACTATAGGACTGAAGTTACTCTACTGTACTATACTATAGGACTGAAGTTACTCTACAGTACTATACTATAGGACTGAAGTTACTCTACAGTACTGTAGTATAGGACTGAAGTTACTCTACAGTACTGTAGTATAGGACTGAAGTTACTCTACAGTACTGTAGTATAGGACTGAAGTTACTCTACAGTACTGTACTATAGGACTGAAGTTACTCTACAGTACTGTAGTATAGGACTGAAGTTACTCTACAGTACTATACTATAGGACTGAAGTTACTCTACAGTACTGTAGTATAGGACTGAAGTTACTCTACAGTACTGTAGTATAGGACTGAAGTTACTCTACAGTACTGTAGTATAGGACTGAAGTTACTCTACAGTACTGTAGTATAGGACTGAAGTTACTCTACAGTACTATACTATAGGACTGAAGTTACTCTACTGTACTATACTATAGGACTGAAGTTACTCTACAGTACTGTACTATAGGACTGAAGTTACTCTACAGTACTGTAGTATAGGACTGAAGTTACTCTACAGTACTATACTATAGGACTGAAGTTACTCTACTGTACTATACTATAGGACTGAAGTTACTCTACAGTACTATACTATAGGACTGAAGTTACTCTACAGTACTGTAGTATAGGACTGAAGTTACTCTACAGTACTGTACTATAGGACTGAAGTTACTCTACAGTACTGTAGTATAGGACTGAAGTTACTCTACAGTACTATACTATAGGACTGAAGTTACTCTACAGTACTGTAGTATAGGACTGAAGTTACTCTACAGTACTATACTATAGGACTGAAGTTACTCTACTGTACTATACTATAGGACTGAAGTTACTCTACAGTACTATACTATAGGACTGAAGTTACTCTACTGTACTATACTATAGGACTGAAGTTACTCTACAGTACTATACTATAGGACTGAAGTTACTCTACTGTACTATACTATAGGACTGAAGTTACTCTACAGTACTATACTATAGGACTGAAGTTACTCTACAGTACTATACTATAGGACTGAAGTTACTCTACTGTACTATACTATAGGACTGAAGTTACTCTACAGTACTATACTATAGGACTGAAGTTACTCTACAGTACTGTAGTATAGGACTGAAGTTACTCTACAGTACTATACTATAGGACTGAAGTTACTCTACAGTACTGTAGTATAGGACTGAAGTTACTCTACAGTACTGTAGTATAGGACTGAGATTACTCTACAGTACTGTAGTATAGGACTGAAGTTACTCTACAGTACTGTAGTATAGGACTGAAGTTACTCTACAGTACTATACTATAGGACTGAAGTTACTCTACTGTACTATACTATAGGACTGAAGTTACTCTACAGTACTGTACTATAGGACTGAAGTTACTCTACAGTACTGTAGTATAGGACTGAAGTTACTCTACAGTACTATACTATAGGACTGAAGTTACTCTACTGTACTATACTATAGGACTGAAGTTACTCTACAGTACTATACTATAGGACTGAAGTTACTCTACAGTACTGTAGTATAGGACTGAAGTTACTCTACAGTACTGTACTATAGGACTGAAGTTACTCTACAGTACTGTAGTATAGGACTGAAGTTACTCTACAGTACTATACTATAGGACTGAAGTTACTCTACAGTACTGTAGTATAGGACTGAAGTTACTCTACAGTACTATACTATAGGACTGAAGTTACTCTACTGTACTATACTATAGGACTGAAGTTACTCTACAGTACTATACTATAGGACTGAAGTTACTCTACTGTACTATACTATAGGACTGAAGTTACTCTACAGTACTATACTATAGGACTGAAGTTACTCTACTGTACTATACTATAGGACTGAAGTTACTCTACAGTACTATACTATAGGACTGAAGTTACTCTACAGTACTATACTATAGGACTGAAGTTACTCTACTGTACTATACTATAGGACTGAAGTTACTCTACAGTACTATACTATAGGACTGAAGTTACTCTACAGTACTATACTATAGGACTGAAGTTACTCTGCAGTACTATACTATAGGACTGGTTACTCTACAGTACTATACTATAGGACTGAAGTTACTCTGCAGTACTATACTATAGGACTGAAGTTACTCTACAGTACTATACTATAGGACTGAAGTTACTCTGCAGTACTATACTATAGGACTGAAGTTACTCTACAGTACTATACTATAGGACCGAAGTTACTCTACAGTACTATACTATAAGATTACATTAACTGTAATTTGTCAATTCTTAACAGTATGTATTATTTGACACTGTCATTACATGATACACATTTACGTAAGAAAGGAGGAACACTGAAGGAGGCCTACTGGCCCATGCTAGGCAGGTCTTTCTCAAACCCAAACCCGCTAATAGAAATATTCGCCCAACCCTTTCAATAGTGTCCAAGGAATAGTTTATATAATGTTTTTGCTTGATGATCGACAGGAACATTCACCATCTTCGCTCCCAGTGATGCTGCCTTCTCCCTGCTGCCTCACTCAGTGTTGCTCAGTTTACACAACAACACTGACAAGCTGAGAGAAGTAATATTGTTCCATGTTGTACCTGGGCTTCACCTCCTCACAGACTTCTCCAACAACCACCTGTTCTTCTCCGCATCTTCCAAGACGCGTCGACTCAGAGTCAACATCTTCCTTAACGGTGGCGGCGTCAGTGATCAGGTGAGCCTTACGTTTCTAGCATAAAGCCCTAAACTCGTAAGGGTTGCGTAAACTGTATATACACTGGATATATGTGAAAAATGTTGTCTTTGCTATTGTAACCGCTACTGACCAGTGGTAAATCACAGGTTTTGTACACATGTAACTCCGGGGGTTGAATACTGGCCGTCTCCCACCGAGGCAGGTGACCCGAAAAAGAAAAGCTTTCACCATCATTCACACTGTCTTGACAGAGGCCCACACACACACACACACACACACATATATATATATATATATATATATATATATATATATATATATATATATATAATATATATATATATATATATATATATATATATATATATATATATATTTTATATATATATATATATATATATATATATATATATATATATATATATATATATATATATATCAGTCAGGCTTGATTCGAGAAGGGAGAGTGGTTTAATTGCCTTGGATCAAGAACCCTTAACTGACATCAAGGCACCTTCCCCTTGAAAGGGCCTCTGCAACATCATTCATTATTGAATGATGTTGCAGAGGCTGTATACCATGTATACTCCAGTCTACCTCATGTATAACGTCTTATAGTAGCCTGCCTCATGTATAACTTTTCTTAGCATCCTATGTAAGACAAAGTAGAGCAAGTGAAGCAGTATACCTGTGTGTACCTGCAGGTGGTAACAGTGTAGAGGTGAAGCAGTAAGCAGTATACCTGTGTGTACCTGCAGGTAGTAACAGTGTAGAGGTGAAGCAGTAATCAGTATACCTGTGTGTACCTGCAGGTAGTAACAGTGTAGAGGTGAAGCAGTAATCAGTATACCTGTGTGTACCTGCAGGTAGTAACAGTGTAGAGGTGAAGCAGTAATCAGTATACCTGTGTGTACCTGCAGGTAGTAACAGTGTAGAGGTGAAGCAGTAATCAGTATACCTGTGTGTACCTGCAGGTAGTAACAGTGTAGAGGTGAAGCAGTAATCAGTATACCTGTGTGTACCTGCAGGTAGTAACAGTGTAGAGGTGAAGCAGTAATCAGTATACCTGTGTGTACCTGCAGGTAGTAACAGTGTAGAGGTGAAGCAGTAATCAGTATACCTGTGTGTACCTGCAGGTAGTAACAGTGTAGAGGTGAAGCAGTAATCAGTATACCTGTGTGTACCTGCAGGTAGTAACAGTGTAGAGGTGAAGCAGTAATCAGTATACCTGTGTGTACCTGCAGGTAGTAACAGTGTAGAGGTGAAGCAGTAATCAGTATACCTGTGTGTACCTGCAGGTAGTAACAGTGTAGAGGTGAAGCAGTAATCAGTATACCTGTGTGTACCTGCAGGTAGTAACAGTGTAGAGGTGAAGCAGTAATCAGTATACCTGTGTGTACCTGCAGGTAGTAACAGTGTAGAGGTGAAGCAGTAATCAGTATACCTGTGTGTACCTGCAGGTAGTAACAGTGTAGAGGTGAAGCAGTAATCAGTATACCTGTGTGTACCTGCAGGTAGTAACAGTGTAGAGGTGAAGCAGTAATCAGTATACCTGTGTGTACCTGCAGGTAGTAACAGTGTAGAGGTGAAGCAGTAATCAGTATACCTGTGTGTACCTGCAGGTAGTAACAGTGAACGGTGCAGAGGTGAAGCTGGCGGACATGCTGGCCATTAATGGAGTAATTCATGTAATTGACCGTGTCCTCTACCCCATGGCTGACCTCTCCATTATTGACCACCTCACTGCCTGCCACACCTTCACAGGTACTTTATATTATCTTATTAATGGTATACAATACTTACTAGTTTACAGGACACGTGTGAAACATTTGAATATATTGTGGAGATATTTCGCCTGAACAAGAGGGTTCTTCAGTCGATTACTGTGTTAACCTAAAGTGCTAAAACCATAAAGGTCGTAGGGCCTTCAGAATGGAGGGTAATCATGCTTGATCCAAGGAAGGGGAGTATAGCTCAAATTCCTTGAATCAAGAGCCCTTCACTAAACTCAAGGAACTATCATGAACGACCATCAGATTCTCTGGAGTATGTAGAGTTGGTCTGGTTTCTCACTGAAGACATAATCTCTATAACTGAAGCCGTTAAACCCGTAAGATCATACATTATTATTATTATATTCATGGTGGGAGCACTAAACCTTTAGGGAGTCATTCAGTCCCTGGGAGAGTGTGGAGTAATCAGGTTCACTCAAGGGAATGGAAGATTAGAGGATCATATAGCAATGCATGGCAGAGGAAACAACAAAGATGAAGGGAAGAGAATGAAGAGGTGTTGACGGAAGAACATCAGCTGACATTCTTATAAATTAAAAATGTTTGTTGGTAGGAGCTAATGTGGCAGTGACTGGCACTGGTGTGACGGAGGTGCTGGAACAAGATGGACCTTTCACCGTTTTCATCCCAACCACTGATGCTTTTGCTGTCATTGATAATGCTACTGTATCGGCCTTCATCCAGAACATCACCTCATTGCAGCGTAAGTATGCATTTTTGTGGCTTTATTATCATTATTATTCAGAGAAATGCTAAACCTCTAGGAAAGTCATTCAGCACCTGGGAACTGGGACACACAGTAGTCAGGTTTAATCCCCCAAAAAGGGAACAGCTATTTAATTTTTTTTTTAATGAAGAGCTCTCTACTGACATCAAGGTGGTATACGAATATTCCTGGAAAGATCAAAATGCTTCACAGGAGTCCAGCTGCATGGTGGACTCTTATGGTATCATGAACAGATTGTATATGGTGTTGGCTAAATTTTTCTGTGTACTTAATTTCAATTTAATTTGCCGTAAATTAATTAATTTCATAATTACACAGTTGCAATTTGATCTTATGAAACATGACACATATGACTGATACTGAACTCTCTTATGTATTGTATTTACGGAGTTATCTTGTATAGTTACTACATACCTTTAACTTCTTTCTGTAGATGTGCTGATGTACCACATAGTGCCTGGTGCTTACTTCAGCCAAGGTCTGCGTGATGGTATGTGGCTGCCCACACTCGCCCAGGAGCAGGAGCTACAGGTTCGAGTCACCAGCGATGGATACACCCGTAAGTATTGAGTGCATTTTTCCATTTCATCTTCTTTAATGAAGATTTTCAATTTGTCACTGAGAAAGAGTTACTAAGAACCCAGCAAAGACTATGTGATAAGCCTGGGGCAAGCAGGGATGATTAACCTGCAGTATTGATATGGAAGATTATTATTATAAGAAAATGCTCAACCTCTATATTATAATCATAACTTAGCACTAAACTCATGAGGGTCATACAGCGCTGTCAACCTTTTAAGTCATGCAATGCATAGGGAATGGGAAGTAATCAGGAATGATCCAAGGAAGGGAAGAGTAGCTCCACTTCCTTGGTCCAGAAGCCATTCACAGGCATCAAGGCACTAACTTCCCTTAAGGGCCAAGCCTAGTAAAAACTATATACAGGATCATACATTCAGAATACTATTAGGTACTGCATAGTGCTCTACTACAAAGTGACCAGTGACATTATTAATTTATATGATTATATTAAAGAAATTCAGAGGGGCTGTCAATATGGTTTGGCAATTTAGAAAAAGAGAGAGAGCAAAAAAGGTTGTTCAAATCAGAGACATAGGTAGTGTAAGAGATACCATGAAGAATTGGAAAGGAAGGTGTGAAGGTTTTGAAAAGAAAGTGGCTTGAGCATTCAGCAAGCATGTGAGTATGCAAGATCAGTGTAGAGGTAGTAAGTAGTTTTTGATATTGAATGTTCAGCTGAAGTGTGAGCAAGTTAACATCTCTTGATGGGATGCAGGAAAACTGGTTAGCTAGATTTGAGTTATGGTGGTAAGTACAGCACTTACACTGAAGGTGGGTAGGGAGGTTACAGTTTGATGTACTTCTGGTAAGACAGCTAGAAAATGAGTGATGGTAAATGTATTTCCTTCTATGGGTCATCCACCCTACCATGGTACAAAATTGATAATGTTAAATTTATAGCACATTACAGTGGACCCCCGGTTAACGATATTTTTTCACTCCAGAAGTATGTTCAGGTGCCAGTACTGACAGAATTTGTTCTCATAAGAAATATTGTGAAGTAGATTAGTCCATTTCAGACCCCCAAACATACACGTACAAACGCACTTACATAAATACACTTACATAATTGGTCACATTCGGAGGTAATCGTTATGCGGGGGTCCACTGTACATCTTTAATGATGACTTTTAATATTTTAATTGTTTTTAGCATATTTCCTCAGCTTTATTCTCACCAAAATACAAAGGTACATAGGAAGTCATACAAAAATATAAACTCAGTTGTCCCAAACTTGTGTTGAAAAGCTCAGCAAACTCAAGGTGAATACGTTTATTTGTTATTGCTAGTGATTAAATATTTAGCTGCATGAACCCAAAAATGCAATTTCATGGCATGTTTTTCAATACAAAACCTTCTCTCCTGTCCAGGTCGCTTAGCTGGGGTGGGTCACATGGCCCAGGTCATCAAGTCTGACATCATTGCCACCAACGGTGTCATACATGTTATTGATACAGTCTTGAGGCCAGAAAGAGAAACTCCAATATGTGACCACTTCTAGGAATGTATGAATTCTCTATATAATACAGTGGTACCCCGAGTTTCGTACATAATTCGTTCCAGAAGGCTGTTCGAGTGCCATTACCGAACGAATTTGTGCCCATAAGGAATGATGTAAATTAGATTAGTTGGTTTGAGACCCCCAAAAATACACTTACAAAAGCACTTACAATGATAAATTTACATAATTGTTCGAGTTGGGAGCTGTACGAAACTCAGGGTACCACTGTACTACAAAGGTTAACTAGTGGAGTCTAAGGCTAATGTGACCCTTCGTTATTTATGTCCAATATTTATGTTAACACAAAATATTAATGTGGAATGAAATCATTCTTTACAAGCGGACCTGAAACATTTTCAGTTTCCATAAAATTAGTTGTGGAGTGTATGGCCAATTACAACTTATTTCATTTAGCTCTTTTTGTTTAGTACTGCAGTAATAAGCAGAACTACTGGGAGAACACATGTAACCACATGTGTTCTCATGGAGTTATATAACTCTTTAGTCAGTCTTGCTACTGTAGAGTATGTTGCAGTGTGCTGTGAGTGTACCAGAGTTGTAAATACAGTATATATATTTGTAAAATAGTCTTTAGGTACCATTCAGAATCCTACCTCTGTGTGCATGGATTTTTTTAAAACAAACTTTTGTACTGTAGTTTAATATTAAGAGGCATTGCTAATATTTTAATTAAAGATACAAAAATATTTGGCATACTGTATTGTAATATTTATCCTCACAGATAAAATGTGGTACAGTATATGCAATTTTTTTGATTATACATTATTATTATAATAAAAAAGAAGCACTAAACCAGAAGAGCTTATGATTATACAGTATTTTGGTATCCCATTTTTAAGTAAAAATCTCCAGTAGAATTTTTTTTTAATCACATAATATTTCCTGATATATGTGAATGGAGACGAATGGTATTTGGGACCTGACGATCTGTTGGAGTGTGAGCAGGGTAATATTTAGTGAAGGGATTCAGGGAAACCGGTTATTTTTATATAGCCGGACTCGAGTCCTAGAAATGGGAAGTACAATGCCCGCACTCTAAAGGAGGGGTTTTGGGATATTAGCAGTTTGGAGGGATATGCTGTGTACGTATCTTTATATGTATATGCTTCTAAACTCTTGTGTTCTGAGCACCTCTGCAAAAACAGTGATTATGTGCGAGTGAGGTGAAAGTGTTGAATGATGATAAAAGTATTTTCTTTTTGGGGATTTTCTTTCTATTTGGGTCACCCTGCCTCGGTGGGAGACGGCAGACTTGTTAAAAAAAAAAAAAAAATATGTACAGTTTTATTAATGTGGTTTAGAGTAGAAAAGCTCTTATTGTATAATCACGCCACTTGGCTGTCTATTTTATAAAAAAATTTCAACGTGTTTAAATTAGGTAAGACAATGATGATTGCAGACACTCGTGCTAACATTAATGTTGCAAAGTAATTACAACAGTGTATGATATGAAAAACTAAACCAAAGACACCTAACAATGGCAGGGTTTAGTTAAGAAAGATTTGGCCAGACCTTGATGAAACTCAAATTAATGAAACACTGTCTTATTGGACAGTGTTTCATTTCAGTGTTTTTATTGTCTAATTCAGTGGTATTCATTGCGCGGCTTGCAAGCCACTATTAATAACAAGATATGCAGGCTAATATTTTTTTTTTTTATTATCACACCGGCCGATTCCCACCAAGGCAGGGTGGCCCGAAAAAGAAAAACTTTCACCATCATTCACTCCATCACTGTCTTGCCAGAAGGGTGCTTTACACTACAGTTTTTAAACTGCAACATTAACACCCCTCCTTCAGAGTGCAGGCACTGTACTTCCCATCTCCAGGACTCAAGTCCGGCCTGCCGGTTTCCCTGAATCCCTTCATAAATGTTACTTTGCTCACACTCCAACAGCACGTCAAGTATTAAAAACCATTTGTCTCCATTCACTCCTATCAAACACGCTCACGCATGCCTGCTGGAAGTCCAAGCCCCTCGCACACAAAACCTCCTTTACCCCCTCCCTCCAACCCTTCCTAGGCCGACCCCTACCCCGCCTTCCTTCCACTACAGACTGATACACTCTTGAAGTCATTCTGTTTCGCTCCATTCTCTCTACATGTCCGAACACCTCAACAACCCTTCCTCAGCCCTCTGGACAACAGTTTTGGTAATCCCGCACCTCCTCCTAACTTCCAAACTACGAATTCTCTGCATTATATTCACACCACACATTGCCCTCAGACATGACATCTCCACTGCCTCCAGCCTTCTCCTCGCTGCAACATTCATCACCCACGCTTCACACCCATATAAGAGCGTTGGTAAAACTATACTCTCATACATTCCCCTCTTTGCCTCCAAGGACAAAGTTCTTTGTCTCCACAGACTCCTAAGTGCACCACTCACTCTTTTTCCCTCATCAATTCTATGATTCACCTCATCTTCATAGACCCATCCGCTGACACGTCCACTCCCAAATATCTGAATACGTTCACATCCTCCATACTCTCTCCCTCCAATCTGATATTCAATCTTTCATCACCTAATCTTTTTGTTATCCTCATAACCTTACTCTTTCCTGTATTCACCTTTAATTTTCTTCTTTTGCACACCCTACCAAATTCATCCACCAATCTCTGCAACTTCTCTTCAGAATCTCCCAAGAGCACAGTGTCATCAGCAAAGAGCAGCTGTGACAACTCCCACTTTGTGTGTGATTCTTTATCTTTTAACTCCACGCCTCTTGCCAAGACCCTCGCATTTACTTCTCTTACAACCCCATCTATAAATATATTAAACAACCACGGTGACATCACACATCCTTGTCTAAGGCCTACTTTTACTGGGAAAAAATTTCCCTCTTTCCTACATACTCTAACTTGAGCCTCACTATCTTCGTAAAAACTCTTCACTGCTTTCAGTAACCTACCTCCTACACCATACACTTGCAACATCTGCCACATTGCCCCCCTATCTACCCTGTCATACGCCTTTTCCAAATCCATAAATGCCACAAAGACATCTTTAGCCTTATCTAAATACTGTTCACTTATATGTTTCACTGTAAACACCTGGTCCACACACCCCCTACCTTTCCTAAAGCCTCCTTGTTCATCTGCTATCCTATTCTCCGTCTTACTCTTAATTCTTTCAATTATAACTCTACCATACACTTTACCAGGTACACTCAACAGACTTATCCCCCTATAATTTTTGCACTCTCTTTTATCCCCTTTGCCTTTATACAAAGGAACTATGCATGCTCTCTGCCAATCCCTAGGTACCTTACCCTCTTCCATACATTTATTAAATAATTGCACCAACCACTCCAAAACTATATCCCCACCTGCTTTTAACATTTCTATCTTTATCCCATCAATCCCGGCTGCCTTACCCCCTTTCATTTTACCTACTGCCTCACGAACTTCCCCCACACTCACAACTGGCTCTTCCTCACTCCTACAAGATGTTATTCCTCCTTGCCCTATACACGAAATCACAGCTTCCCTATCTTCATCAACATTTAACAATTCCTCAAAATATTCCTTCCATCTTCCCAATACCTCTAACTCTCCATTTAATAACTCTCCTCTCCTATTTTTAACTGACAAATCCATTTGTTCTCTAGGCTTTCTTAACTTGTTAATCTCACTCCAAAACTTTTTCTTATTTTCAACAAAATTTGTTGATAACATCTCACCCACTCTCTCATTTGCTCTCTTTTTACATTGCTTCACCACTCTCTTAACTTCTCTCTTTTTCTCCATATACTCTTCCCTCCTTGCATCACTTCTACTTTGTAAAAACTTCTCATATGCTAACTTTTTCTCCCTTACTACTCTCTTTACATCATCATTCCACCAATCGCTCCTCTTCCCTCCTGCACCCACTTTCCTGTAACCACAAACTTCTGCTGAACACTCTAACACTACATTTTTAAACCTACCCCATACCTCTTCGACCCCATTGCCTATGCTCTCATTAGCCCATCTATCCTCCAATAGCTGTTTATATCTTACCCTAACTGCCTCCTCTTTTAGTTTATAAACCTTCACCTCTCTCTTCCCTGATGCTTCTATTCTCCTTGTATCCCATCTACCTTTTACTCTCAGTGTAGCTACAACTAGAAAGTGATCTGATATATCTGTGGCCCCTCTATAAACATGTACATCCTGAAGTCTACTCAACAGTCTTTTATCTACCAATACATAATCCAACAAACTACTGTCATTTCGCCCTACATCATATCGTGTATACTTATTTATCCTCTTTTTCTTAAAATATGTATTACCTATAACTAAACCCCTTTCTATACAAAGTTCAATCAAAGGGCTCCCATTATCATTTACACCTGGCACCCCAAACTTACCTACCACACCCTCTCTAAAAGTTTCTCCTACTTTAGCATTCAAGTCCCCTACCACAATTACTCTCTCACTTGGTTCAAAGGCTCCTATACATTCACTTAACATCTCCCAAAATCTCTCTCTCTCCTCTGCATTCCTCTCTTCTCCAGGTGCATACACGCTTATTATGACCCACTTCTCGCATCCAACCTTTACTTTAATCCACATAATTCTTGAATTTACACATTCATATTCTCTTTTCTCCTTCCATAACTGATCATTTAACATTACTGCTACCCCTTCCTTTGCTCTAACTCTCTCAGATACTCCAGATTTAATCCCATTTATTTCCCCCCACTGAAACTCTCCTACCCCCTTCAGCTTTGTTTCGCTTAGGGCCAGGACATCCAACTTCTTTTCATTCATAACATCAGCAATCATCTGTTTCTTGTCATCCGCACTACATCCACGCACATTTAAGCAACCCAGTTTTATAAAGTTTTTCTTCTTCTCTTTTTAGTAATTGTATACAGGAGAAGGGGTTACTAGCCCATTGCTCCCGGCATTTTAGTCGCCTCATACGACACGCATGGCTTACGGAGGAAAGATTCTTTTCCACTTCCCCATGGACAATAGAAGAAATAAAAAAGAACAAGAGCTATTTAGAAAAAGGAGAAAAACCTAGATGTATGTATATATATATATGCATGTGCGTGTCTGTGAAGTGTGACCAAAGTGTAAGTAGGAGTAGCAAGATATCCCTGTTATCTTAGCGTGTTTATGAGACAGAAAAAGAAACCAGCAATCCTACCATGTCTAATTTTTCTCATTTACTATATTGCACTAGCAGCTCAGTACTACTTAATTTAGTTGAGTTACGCTAACTTGCAGTAGCTGCGGCTCTCTCAATCAATGTGTTTAACCGAAGTGGCTCTCTTGCAAAAATTAGTGAATAACACTGGTCTAATTGGACAGTGTTTCATTAATGCCTCACCTTGTGTTTATCCAGTTTTCCAGGAGTCTGTTGTTACATCAAGCCTACAGAGAGATGTCTCTTATGTAAGTATTAGTATATAGTATATGCTGTTAGCTCTTCTCAAGTGTTAATTTTTATAGAAATTTGTAATTCCCAAACAATTACTTAATATAGCTACCACATAAATTTGTTTCCCAAGTCTCAGAGTTGTGACAGCACCTGGAAAATGAGAGCTAACAGGGTTTGAGAGACCCTTCCCTTTTTCCAATCATTATTATTATTATAATAAAAAAGAAGCACTAAACCTACTAGGGTCATACAGCACTGCTTCCTCCGATCAGTCTTTGAACAAAGACCCCTTCCCCAGCGTCAAGGCATGCCAAAAATGAGAAGAAAAACAAAAATATGAATGAATCTCATCCATTACCCAAACTACTTTGTCTTCCAAGAGCATTAACATGACAGTAAGACTTAGAGAGTATTATATTCACTTTGAAAAATATGTCAAAATACCGTGGCTGGAGCAATTCATAAATAACTTGCACTTAAGAGAGGAACCTTGTGCTCCACAACAACCCAAAACATTTTCCTAAGTTTCCTCTCTTATGTTCAACATAACTGTGAATATTCAACTGCTAATAAAAATATATACAGTACATTTTACAATTTATTTAGTAAAATTAGAATGTTCTGACATGATTTTATAAAATTCTAGAGCAAAAAACTAAGAATACCTAATTTCATTTGAATTTTAGAACATCAAGTGAGACAGACAGCAAAATTGAATTAAATTTAGTTAGAAACAATATACATATCAACCATTCAAAACCTGAAATGGACTAAGAAATTATCAGACAATTTTTTTCATTTACCAGAAGAATAGCGACATGCTGTCACCAGTGACAACATGTACAGATGTGCCTAGTAACATGCTGTTACTAAAGACTATATGTACAGATGTGACTAAATTTTTCAAAAAAAAAAAAAAAAAAAAAAAAAAAAAAAGACACTGATCGATACAAATATTGAGCAAGGAACAATGCTGAACTCATACACAGCCTTTATTTTCAATTATTTTTAGTATGTAAATGATAAATATGAATCTCCCCAAATATCTTCATATTAAGTCTGCTAACTTGTAAACTGCATTTCATAAGCTGTAGAATAAATTCAACTTTCCATTTTTACTACCATTATGATAGTTTATTGGTTATAAAACATGTATTAATCTAAAACTAAAGAATTATCATTCTATTTGTAATGAGATTTAATGATACATACTTCAAGTCTTTGCACCAGTGTCTACAGCAGTGTGAGGGAAGGGGCTTCCCTCCTCACATAAAAAATATCTCAATGGGGGATTGAAATAAATGGTTGAGAATGTGTGTATCACACACCACTTCATTTCCTGATCAAGGGATAAATGGCACTCACATTTTAACCAGCAGGTTACCAGTGAGTTATGTCCCTCTTATTTAAACCCCACAGAAGACTTCCTTAAGTACTTTCACCACCTGTGCTACACCGTACACCTGAACTCTGGTTTGTAACCACACTGGTCATTTCCCCAGCAAAGTAAGGGTAGAACTATTTTAACCTGTCTCTCCAGTGCACCACAACTCTCATTAATAGGCTAGTTGATCACATAATGTAATAAAATTCACCATCTCAAATATGAACTACATTCTTTAGTAAATTTACTACTCATAAAAATCAATAAATTAAACTATGTACTGTACATCATTAACATTTTCAATAAGAATATTTGCTTTCAGCCATAATTTTTTTTTCAACACACTGGCTATCTCCCACCAAGGCAGGGTGAAGCAAAAAGAAAACATTTTACATTTAGTAATTCATACAGGAGAAGGGGTAACTAGCCCCTCGCTCCTGGCCTTTAACGACATGCAGGACTTATGGAGGGAGGAATTTTTCCACTTTCCCATGGATAATAATTTTTATTGTAATTATCTAATCTGTATCATCTTAAGAAATTCTAATGCTTTATTAAAAAAAAAAATGCAATATATGTATATGTCTTAATTAAAATGCTTGAAAACACCTAAGTCTAATTTACAATATTAAAAAGAGAAACATATTCTATATAATCCAAGAACATGCTGGTGCTTCCTTCACCAGCCAGTTACTGACTCATCAGCTGTACTTACAGGTAAACCTCTCAAAGAACACATCATTAATTCATCCAATTTTGCAATTTAATTAACTGTATGCAAGTTACATGCTAGCAGATCTTTCACAGGACTTCAACACTAAATTCTACATTCACATACATTCTGACTATGTAATCAATGTGTATGAATTAACTACAATAACCAAAGTGCAACACAAAGAAACAAGTCTGATTTTTTTGTAATACTTTTGATTAGGATAAAAACTTTGTCACTTTCCCAAATAGCCTTTGATTAATATTCATACATGGCTGCATGTCACTTACATTTTGGGTTAGCCATTCACAGAAACCTGGTAATTTTCTTCCCAGATTATGAGGCAATCTCATTCATATCAAAATTATATTTGAACCAATAATCTTGCTGCATAAGTTAAGCGTCAGTAAAAGCACAGATACCTCACTTCTGCAGAAAACTTATTTCTTCAAAGGATTACACTGATTCTTCATTCATATCAAGTACATCCCTTGCAGTGTCAACCTTCTTTGAACTCCAAGTAAGACTGAAGTTTACTCTGGCATTCAGCAGATACTTGCATTTCCCTGGAGAGTGAAACAAAGACTAACACATCACCAACCAGCCAAATTATTTACTGATCACAGTTTGTTACAAACATAAGCTGCATATTATTATTATAATCAAAAGAAGCACTAAACTGCAAGGGTTCATAAACTGCATAAATCATTAAATCTAAGAAAACATGAACAAAAAAATTAAAAGGGAGTACAGGTACATATTCAAGTCTCAGCACTTAATATGGCATGCCGAGGCTGTCTAGTGATTAGATCTATGTTCAATAATAGACAAAATTAAAAAAAAAAAAAAAAACACACACTCAGTGGCCACTGTATTAGGTATACCCACTCATTAATGCTAATATCTAATTAGCCAATAATGTGGCAGTACCTATATACCTAAAAGCATCTAGACATGGTTAAGAGGCTCAGCTGCTGTTAAGACCGAACACCAAGATGTGGAAGAAATGTGATCTAAGTGACTTTGTGGATTGATTGTTGGTAACAGATGAGATGTTTGAGTATCTCAAACTGCTGAGCTGGGATCTTCATGCACAAAAGTCTCTTAGAGTTTACAGAGAATGGTGTGAAAAACACAAAACATCCAGTGACGGAAGTTCTGCGGGCGAAAATGCCTTGATAATGAGAGGGGTCGGATGAGAATGGCCAGACTGGTTCAAGCTGATATAAAGGTGACTAATTCAAATAACCATGCATTACAACAGTGATATACACAAGAGCATCTCTGAACACACAATATGCCAAAATTCAAAGGGGATGGGATACAGCAAAAGAAGATCGCATCAGGTTCCACTCTCGTCTGCTAAAAACAGGAAACTGAGGCTACAGTGGGCAAAGGCTCACCAAAGCTGAACAGTTAAAAATTGGAAAAATGTCGCCTGGTTTGACAAATCACAATATCTGTTGTGAACTGCAATGGGAAGGTCAGAATTTTGCATAATTCTTTGGGATGTGGTGGAATGGGAAATTCTCAGCATGAATTTGCAGGCAGTAAATTTTGCAGCAACTGCATGATGCCATCATGTCAAAGTGGATCAGGATGCAAAGCAACCAGAGGGAAGAGATGAATGATTGCAATAATGCAAAGGGAGTAAGGAGCCCATGCAGGTGTATCTATGAGGCCTACTACAAAAGACCTAGAGCTATCATTTAACCCCCCCACCCCGGGGATGTTTTGAATCTGTTAACTTGTTTGTAATTATTGTATGGATCAGGATCTCTAAGGAATGTTTCCAGCACCTTGTTGATTCCATGTCACAAGGAATTCAGGCTGCTCTGGGAAAAAATGGAAGCCCCTACCCAATACTGGCAGGGCATATCTAATAAAATGGCCACTGAGTGTGTATATGTATGCACAGTGAAATTGTTTTAAACTTACAATACTGTATTTCCAAAAGTAGTTGTGATTGTGTACAATGCAGATCTGAGAGAAAATCTAAGTGCTTTTCTGAGCTGTAACTCAGCTGGTAGTCTCTCTCCTGTGCTGGTTGCTCTTCTTGTTATTGTTACTCGACCCAAACCATCAACCACCTGTAAATATATGCAAACAAAAAGCCTCTTTTTTAATAACTGAATGGTTCTATGTAATAAAAAGATCACAAACACTCAAAAGCATTTAGGAAAACATGCAACCCATTATTAGAAAAAATCAAGAAAACATTGAGCCTGGCCACCCTCTAAGTGGGCGTTACACAGTTGTACGTGACAGCCACTCAAAGGTTAATGTTGAAATTGTTTTCCAATATCCTTAAACATTTTCCTCTGAGATTAACATTATTTATTTTAGCATTTCAATTTGACTTAGCATTTACTTAATTATGAAGTACAGTAACAAAAATTATACTACAGTGGACCCCCGCATAACGATTACCTCCGAATGTGACCAATTATGTAAGTGTATTTATGTAAGTGCGTTTGTACGTGTATGTTTGGGGGTCTGAAATGGACTAATCTACTTCACAATATTTCTTATGGGAACAAATTTGGTCAGTACTGGCACCTGAACATACTTCTGGAGTGAAAAAATATCGTTAACCGGGGGTCCACTGTATTAGTAAAAAGAGGAACTTTATACCTTCTGCAGTTGTGTAAAGGCCATCAATATGTCTGGTATATTTCTTTGCACTACACCATATTTGTCTTCTGTGAAGGAGGCCGCTGTCAGATCACCAAGAGCTGAAATATAATTAGCAGTAAAACAGCATTAATAATGTAAATACAACATATCTTTATGAAGGGATTCAGGACAACCAGTTAACCCAACCAGAGTCCTGGAGGTGGAAAGTACACTACCAGCACTCTGAAAGAAGGGTGGGGGGATGTTACAGTTTGGAGGATTATTTGAATTATGATCCCCACACACTTTGGACAAGACAATTATTAAGTAAATGATGGTGAATGTGCCTTTCTGAATCACTCCACTTTAATGAAAAATGGCCAGTGTACAGTAGCTTGAAGAGAATATAATAGTCAGTCTGTTACTGTACACTATTTGTAGCAAACTAAATTTAAAGCTGATATCCTTCATTTATACATCCTCTTGGTCATTCTATTCTGCTTTATCCTTCCTAAATGCCAAAAAAGAAAAAATTCCTCCTCTGGCCTCTGAATACCTTTCATAACCCCACATACAGTAGTTATCAAATTTGTACACACTGAATTCTTTGCATAATATTCACACCAAACATCGTTCTCAAAAACATCCCCACTGCCTTCTCTCTCCTTGCTGCATATCACAACACATGGGGAACAGGAGGTACATCAGGTATAGTCAAAGGGGATGGCAGCCCTAATTCCTTGAACCAAGAGCCTTTTACTAGCATCACGGAAACCACCTCAAAAGAATTAAATCATAGAACTCATTTTCACAAGGAAAAAATATTGATCTTTTTTTTCTTTAACACATTGGCTGTCTCCCACAAAAATTTTTCTTCTTTTAACATATAGTAATTTATACAGGAGAGGGGGTTACTAGCTTCTTGCTCACAGCATTTTAGTTGCCTCTTACAACATGCATGGCTTACAGAGGAAGGATTCTTCTCCACTTCCCCATGGATAAGTACATACCTGGAGAGAGTCCCGGGGGTCAATGCCCCCACGGCCCGGTCTGTGACCAGGCCTCATACATGTTTATTGATGTACATGTGATGAGTTCCTATATGCTATGAACAACTTAGTGAGAAATGTGACTAATATTTATCATATCAAAACAAATTTTACAAATCTTTTCAATTATCCTCAATGATCTAGTCTAGTCAATGAAGTCACTTACCCTGAACTGCCCATATGACAGGGAGTGCCTCAGCGAAGATGCTTCGGTTGGGGGCATCGGGCAGGTCAGACAAAAAATACCCAAATATTGGATATCTTTTCAAACTCATTACAAACTGGATAAGAAAATAAATTACAGAATAGAAGTTATATAATAAAAAAAAAAATAAAAAAAAATTTAGGCAATTCGTCCTTTCAAGGGATGTTCCTTGTGGGCATTGTAACCCGTAGAATAACATACAGGTAACAAGAACACTACAGCATAAATGTTGAAAGGATAACCTTATCAAGTCCATCATTAAAAAGGCCTTATAAAAGCTGGCAATTGAGCTAAAAATTATCCAATACGTAAAGGCTTGCTTTTCTGTGTGCTTTGTTTTATCTGCTTGAACCCTGTTAATAACCCAAATATAGTGAGGTAGATGATGAACTGGTCATAGCTTATATTACATATGGTGAGGTAGATGATGAGCTGGTCATAGCTTATATTACATATGGTGAGGTAGATGATGAGCTGGTCATAGCTTATATTACATATGGTGAGGTAGATGATACTCTCACATCTGCATGCCTCCAGCAAGACAGAGATAGCGTGAATGATGGTGAAAGTGTTTCTTTTTTGGGTCACCCTGCCTTGGTGGGAGACAGCCAGCATCTTAAATAAAAAAAAATTATACCTACCTCACTATATTTATGATATAATATTCTGTTAATAATCAATTTGATCAAGTATCAAAAAATCTGCAATTTTAATTCACTGTTATCAATTGTGATTCTTGCTCTTATGCAATTACCAAAATAATTTTAACTTTAAATAACTTTTATTTTTAATTCACATGTACAGCACTTACATTTTTCATTTTATTATCTACCAACTTCTACTGTATCTCAGCCTCCACTATGAGAATTTTAAAATAGAAACATACATTTACATTAAAATAGAAACATACTTTACATTAAAGGATTTTGAAATCTTTCTTATCCACATTTCAAAGACAATCCTAATATTTCATAAATTCTGGTGTCTATATAAACAGCAAAAGAATTTTAAATTTCTTTGACAAATCTATAACATGTGTGGTTAATCAGCTTGAGAAGATGAAAGTCTTCAAAGTAAAAATTATAACAAGACTGTATAACAACCATTAGTAACTTAGTCCAGCTGGTCAACTGGAATTTGGTTATTGAGCAACATGAAGCCGTATAAACGAGGAAAAAATAAAAGCCGCGTACACTGATTACCCTTTCCTTGAGTGGAACAGGTGGCGGCTTCTCAACTTCATTTTTATTGACATCAGTCAAGGCAGTTGTCTCAACTGGCAGGGGAGGTACACTAGGGAGGCTCTCTGGACAGTTTTGTCGGCGGAGCCTTTCACAGAATTTACGAATCAGGTTGAGAGATGGGTTCACGATGCCTAACCAGTTCCGTGGATGGCCACCTAAGAGTCAAGAGACTTTCAATGTAATGAATATTTGTACCATTTAAACTGTCATATAATGTGAGTGAACATTTTTGTATTAATACATTGTTCAACTTTGACAATTTTCTTCTTCTTATTCTTTTTAGTAATCTTTACAGGAAAAGGGGTTACTAGCCCATTGTTCCCGGCATTTTAGTTGACTTTTACAACACGCATGGCTTACGGAGGAAAGATTCTTATTCCACTTCCCCATGGACATAAAAGGAAAAGTAATAAGACCAAGAACTATTAAGATAAAATCAAAGAAAACTCAGATGAGTGTGTATAAATAAACATGTACATGTATGTGTAGTGTGACCTAAGTGTAAGTAGAAGTAGCAAGACGTACCTGTAATCTTGCATATTTATGAGACAGACAAAAGACACCAGCAATCCTACCATCATGTAAAACAATTACAGGCTTTCCTTTTACACTCACTTGGCAGGACGGTAGTACCTCCCTGGGTGGTTGCTGTCTACCAACCTACTACCATAGAAGAGAGGGAGAATACTTCCCGGTAAAAGTAGGTCTTAGACAGGGATGTGTAATGTCACCATGGTTGTTTAATATATTTATAGATGGGGTTGTAAAAGAAGTAAATGCTAGGGTGTTTGGGAGAGGGGTGGGATTAAATTACGGGGAATCAAATTCAAAATGGGAACTGACACAGTTACTTTTTGCTGATAATACTGTGCTTATGGGAGATTCTAAAGAAAAATTGCAAAGGTTAGTGGATGAGTTTGAGAATGTGTGTAAAGGTAAAAAGTTGAAAGTGAACATAGAAAAGAGTAAGGTGATGAGGGTATCAAATGATTTAGATAAAGAAAAACTGGATATCAAATTGGGGAGGAGGAGTATGGAAGAAGTGAATGTTTTCAGATACTTGGGAGTTGACATGTCGGCGGATGGGTTTATGAAGGATGAGGTTAATCATAGAATTGATGAGGGAAAAAAGGCGAGTGGTGCGTTGAGGTATATGTGGAGTCAAAAAACATTATCTATGGAGGCAAAGAAGGGAATGTATGAAAGTATAGTAGTACCAATACTCTTATATGGATGTGAAGCTTGGGTGGTAAATGCAGCAGCGAGGAGATGGTTGGAGGCAGTGGAGATGTCCTGTCTAAGGGCAATGTGTGGTGTAAATATTATGCAGAAAATTCGGAGTGTGGATATTAGGAGAAGGTGTGGAGTTAATAAAAGCATTAATCAGAGGGCAGAAGAGGGGTTGTTGAGGTGGTTTGGTCATTTAGAGAGAATGGATCAAAGTAGAATGACATGGAAAGCATATAAATCTATAGGGAAAGGAAGGAGGGGTAGGGGTCGTCCTCGAAAGGGTTGGAAAGAGGGGGTAAAGGAGGTTTTGTGGGCAAGGGGCTTGGACTTCCAGCAAGCGTGCATGAGTGTGTTAGATAGGAGTGAATGAGACGAATGATACTTGGGACCTGACGATCTGTTGGAATGTGAGCAGGGTAATATTTAGTGAAGGGATTCAGGGAAACCGGTTATTTTCATATAGTCGGACTTGAGTCCTGGAAATGGGAAGTACAATGCCTGCACTTTAAAGGAGGAGTTTTGGGATATTGGCAGTTTGGAGGGATATGTTGTGTATCTTTATATGTGTATGCTTCTAGACTGTTGTATTCTGAGCACCTCTGCAAAAACAGTGATAATGTGTGAGTGTGGTGAAAGTGTTGAATGATGATGAAAGTATTTTCTTTTTGGGGATTTTCTTTCTTTTTTGGGTCACCCTGCCTCGGTGGGAGACGGCCGACTTGTTGAAAAAAAAAAAAAAAAAAAAAAAAAAAAAAAAAAAAAAAAAAAACCATTGTTCAAGTGGAACAACCTGGCTGACTGATGGCGAAAACTTGGGAGCGTCTTGAAAGGTTCCGGGGATCTGAAGATGCCAGTGACTTGAGGTCCCAGAAGGCTAGAACTTGGAGAATGCCAGACGAACTGAGAGCATTACACAGCCTCCATGAGTCTCCATCAGCATCAGGGTTGTTGTCTTCTGCACTAGCAACCGGAATTTCAAAAGGCTGATAAAAAAATTCACACATTAAAAAAAATCATCAACCCTTCACAAAAATATGATGCGGTAACGTAATGTCTGAAACAGTAGAAAAAAAAAGTATTTTATGCCTTATAGTGAGCTAACGACTGTGGAAATTAACACAGCATTAATTCTTTAAAGTGACCAATATTCAGCAAATTATATAATTTAGTTAATCAGACTGACATTCAAATGCAAGATGGCTCACGAAGACTATCAGGCTACAATAGGAAGAATCAAATGTAAAACCTTGAGTTACAAGAGTTCAATTTAACATATTTTGGACTTAAGAGATGTTATCGAGGTATCACCGCACAATTCTTAAGTGACTTATAAGGAAGAATATCAGTCACTGTGTTTGGAGAAAAGAATGTTATCCCCTATGAAAGAAAATACAATGCAAATGACAGAAAATCCTTTATTAATGAAGAGTAGAAGACAGTATCACCATCATGTTACATAACCTCCGAATTGAAATCACTGGATGTAGCAACATTATGGCATTTCTATATCTTTGTAATAATGGTTTTTCTATTGTTTATTTTTGCATCACTGCAAAATTATTAAGTTCACCACATAATGTCTGTTGTAACTAACCTCTGTTATGAAGATATGGAAGAGCTGTGAGAAGAGGGAGAGGCTGATGGCCAGGAGCACTGTGGCTAAAAGTGTCATCATCATCAGTGGCAAGTCAAATATCACCACCCAATCTTGCCACTTCCCATTATTAACCAAACTTATCAATATTGCTGAAAAATAATAAACATCAGATAAGAAAATGAAGAGAGAATAAAAATGCCACTTATAAAATTTCCATTTCCATTTTGGGTAGCTTTAAGAAGAGACTGGACAAATATATGAGTGGGAGGGGCTGGGTTTGATTGGTGTCATGGGGTACGGGAGTTATTTCTTGGGTGGCTTTAGGTAGAGATCGTTTTGATAAGGACCTGCCTCGTATGGGCCAGTAGGCCTTCTGCAGAGTTCCTACATTCTTATGTTCATCAACTTCTAGTTTTCAAAATTGCCCAAAGGCTAATTTTTCTGCAAGAGATTTCCTCTAGTTATCTTTCATATTTTTTTCTTAATTTCTACAATATTTTAATTAGTTATTTATTTCAGTGAATCAATTATTGTTAGCTTCTACAATGGAGTGTCACACATGTACAGAAATAACATTCTGATTCATCTGCTTAAACCAAATGAATCAATTAGTAAATGGGAGAGCATCCCATTTTCTTCCTTATGTATCGTACATTTTTTTTTATTATATCGTCCATCTTCCACCAAGAAAGGGTAGCCCTGAAAAACGAAATGTTCACCATCATTTAATTAACAGCTGTCTTGCAGAAGTACAGACATCACAATCAAATGATATTCTGAACTACAGCATTCCCACCTCACCTTCAGAGTGCAGACACAGTACTTCTCACCTCCAGGACTCAAATTCAGCTAACCAGTTTCCCTTAATCCCTTCATAAATGTTAACTGGTTCACACTCCAACACCATGTAAAGCCCATAAAACTATTTGACTCCAAGCACCACAATCAACCATACATACTTGATGGATGCTATATCAACAAAAATCACCCCATATCTCTTCATATAAAGGTGAATACAGGAAAGAGTAAGGTTATGAGGATAACAAAAAGATTAGGTGATGAAAGATTGAATATCAGATTGGAGGGAGAGAGTATGGAGGAGGTGAACGTATTCAGATATTTGGGAGTGGACGTGTCAGCGGATGGGTCTATGAAAGATGAGGTGAATCATAGAATTGATGAGGGAAAAAGAGTGAGTGGTGCACTTAGGAGTCTGTGGAGACAAAGAACTTTGTCCTTGGAGGCAAAGAGGGGAATGTATGAGAGTATAGTTTTACCAACGCTCTTATATGGGTGTGAAGCGTGGGTGATGAATGTTGCAGCGAGGAGAAGGCTGGAGGCAGTGGAGATGTCATGTCTGAGGGCAATGTGTGGTGTGAATATAATGCAGAGAATTCGTAGTTTGGAAGTTAGGAGGAGGTGCGGGATTACCAAAACTGTTGTCCAGAGGGCTGAGGAAGGGTTGTTGAGGTGGTTCGGACATGTAGAGAGAATGGAGCGAAACAGAATGACTTCAAGAGTGTATCAGTCTGTAGTGGAAGGAAGGCGGGGTAGGGGTCGGCCTAGGAAGGGTTGGAGGGAGGGGGTAAAGGAGGTTTTGTGTGCGAGGGGCTTGGACTTCCAGCAGGCATGCGTGAGCGTGTTTGATAGGAGTGAATGGAGACAAATGGTTTTTAATACTTGACGTGCTGTTGGAGTGTGAGCAAAGTAACATTTATGAAGGGGTTCAGGGAAACCGGCAGGCCGGACTTGAGTCCTGGAGATGGGAAGTACAGTGCCTGCACTCTGAAGGAGGGGTGTTAATGTTGCAGTTTAAAAACTGTAGTGTAAAGCACCCTTCTGGCAAGACAGTGATGGAGTGAATGATGGTGAAAGTTTTTCTTTTTCGGGCCACCCTGCCTTGGTGGGAATCGGCCAGTGTGATAATAAAAATAAATAAATCTCTTCAACCTACTCGTGTGTGCTCTTTCTCTCATTTACTGTCCCTTCTCTCTTACTCACTGCTGCCTTATGCTCTGACTGTAGCTATTGCTAAATAATGGTCCACATATCAGCTGCTCTTCTAAAAACATACACAACCAGAAATCTACCCATTATCCTTTTATCCACCACTTTATTTAATACAACAATTTATAAACCTTTGTTTAATTTAAATTGAAATAAAAAACTCATAAGCAGCATCAATAATATCTGTCACTGCATGATGAAACACCTATATTAACAAGTTAATATTTACAGAAACCAGTGAAAATGCTTGTATTGTACTACTTACAAAGAGCCATATAAAATCCAATGGCAAACAAAAACGAAAGTTTGCTGGCTCCATAGCTATTGCAAGCTTCTCGCATGCTCCGTAAACTGAGGCTGGCCTTGATCAACTGCAGCTTTCTTGGGTGTGCAGGGAGAGGTGTCACTAGGTTCCCATTAGCCATGAAGTACTTATAGGCATAGTGATAACCTACATAGGCGCCCATAAAGATTATGACAGACTTGCGTTTATAACACATGATATCCCTGAAGAGAGAAGTACAGCACATATTAAAATGCATACTGTTAAAACCATGGATATATGTATTCTCTACATCCAATAGTTACAAAACCTGACAATAATCAAACTTCAAAATGTTCTGATCAGCAGCAAATACCCAAATAAATAGAACAGATATTTCTGCCACTAAAAGTAAATATGAAGCATACACACAAATAAATTTTTATTAAATTCATAGAGGAAACATCGCAAACTATTTATACACATCTTTCAAGGGGCTTATAATTTTTTACACATTAACAGTTTAAGTAATGCTAATGCAAGCATTTGTTTTTTTTAACCACAGATTGAGGCAGGATGACCCGAAAAAGGAAGAAACAGTCATCACTCACTCTATCATTGTCTTGCCAGAGGCATGCCAATACTATAGTTCAAAAACTATAACATATCTCCACCCCTCCTTCAGAGTGCAGGCACTGTACTTACCACCTCCAGGACTCTAGCATTCTTTCATCTTTCAAGGCACCGGCCGTATCCCACTGAGGCGGGGTAGCCCAAAAGAAAACACGAAAGCTTCTCCTTTTACATTTAGTAATATATACAGGAGAAGGGGTGACTAGCTCCTTGCTCCTGGCATTTTAGTCGCCTCTTATGACATGCATGGCTTATGGAGGAAGAAGTCTGTTCCACTTCCCCATGGAGATAAGTGGAAATAAACAACAAGAACAAGAACTAGTAAGAAAAATAGAAGAAAACCTAGATGGGTGTGTATATACATACTTGTACAGGCATGTGTAGTGTGGCCTTAATGTAAGTAGAAGTAGCAAGATGTACCTGAAATCTTTCATGTTTATGAGACAGAAAAAGACACCAGCAATCCTACCATCATGCAAAACAATTACAGGCTTTCGTTTTACATTCACTTGGCAGGATGGTAGTACCTCCCTGGGCGGTTGCTGTCTACCAACCTACTAACTAGACTCTAGCATTGTTGGATAAAATACATTTAAGGGAATACATAGCTATAAGAAACTATACATAAAGTGTTACTAATTCCACCAAATGAACACTGGTAATCAACTTACCCAGACATGCATGGCATCAAGAGGAAGGGAAAGTCAGGATGTGCGAGTGATGTATAAAAATTGGCTAACAGGGCACAAGATGTCATGACCAGTCCACTTCTGAAGATTACAACTGGAGAAAGCATACGCCTCCACTTCTCTAGGCGGTTAAGTGGCACCCATGCACTTACTGAAAATCAAAGCAATTAACCAGTAGGATAAAAATGTATTCACAGAGTACAGTACTGTATTTCTTGTAATACAGTGACCATTTACCACCTAGGCAAGAAGACCCAAAGACAACATTTACCACTCTCAGACTAAAAGGACATGAAAGATTAAATAAAGACAATTTTTTCATATCTGCAACAGGAATAATGAGAAATCTTAGTTGTAAATTAAGAAAAAAGTGGAGCCGAAGGGATACCAGAAAGTTTTTCTTCCAACCAGAGTGATAGATCAATAGAATAAATTACAAAAGGATGTAATAAGTACTTCAAGTGCTGAAAATACTTTGTAAATAAACTTTACTTGTATAGTATTCTGCATTAAGTTATATTTCCTTCATAACATATAAAGAGTTATACGTATTAAATAATGTATTGAAATCAAAGCATCAGAAATGCCTCCACAACAACACAGTTAACAAACCTCTCTTAACACAATGACTAACATTAATGCTTACTGTGACATCATACATACCAGTATAGGATTTAATGTGGATGCGAGCCAGCATGATAAAACAGGCCGCCGGAACCACGAGACGTAGCAATTTTGTTGGATAGATACAAGATGTTACTAGATTTGAGATGATAATAACTGGATTCAGTATTCCTTGGGCAACAATTGTGTGATAGAGGTTGCAAACAGCCATTGGAGCAATCACCTGCAGAAGTAACAAGCATGCCAGGGCTCGCACGTATCTCCAAAGTAAGACCTGAAAATAAATTATCTGCCTTTGTAATTTATTAATTGAAATACAGTATAGCTTTTGACAAGTCATGATAGTACTGAAACGATCAAATAAATTAATCAGTGTATTAAAAAATGATTAGCTGGTAAATAATCTTTAATAACTGAATGACCTAGTCATCAAGTAATCTTTAAAATCAGTAATATTATTAGCAAATGCTAACCTAACACAAACTACCTAAAATAAACAAATTATGTTGAATAATTCGTGGCTGCTATATTTTATGTCACCGAACCTGCTGCCTGGTTAACTTAATATTGTCATCGGCTTGAAAAGTCACTGACTTTGCTAGATGTGAAAAGACTGTATAACCACAAGTTATTCAACACTAACTCAGTGTTTGTTAGGTTACTGCATGCTTCTAGTTTAATAAATAAATAAAATATATAAATAAAGCTTAGATTTTTTAAATTATAATGTGTAAATTACCTAGGATAACCCAATATAGTCAAGGTGACTTATTTCCATATCCAGTATTCACAGATCCATTTTCTTGGATCAGAAGCTGCTCATAGGCAGTCAGTAATCTCCCTTGAGGGGTTTATCAAGTATAATAATCAGTGATACTGTACAATGTATATGTTTGATTATAATAATAATAATCATGGGGGAGTGCTAAACCAGTAGGATTATACAGCACATGTACTCACCTAGTTGTACTCACCTAGTTGAGGTTGCGGGGGTCGAGTCCGAGCTCCTGGCCCCGCCTCTCCACTGATCGCTACTAGGTCACTCTCCCTGAGCCGTGAGCTTTATCATACCTCTGCTTAAAGCTATGTATGGATCCTGCCTCCACTACATCGCTTCCCAAACTATTCCACTTACTGACTACTCTGTGGCTGAAGAAATACTTCCTAACATCCCTGTGATTCATCTGTGTCTTCAGCTTCCAACTGTGTCCCCTTGTTACTGTGTCCAATCTCTGGAACATCCTGTGGGGGGGATGGAAGGCATTCAGGCTCAATTCAGGGAACTGGAGCACAGATCCAATTCCCTAGATCAAGAGCCCCTCACCAACGTCAAGGAACCTCCCTTGAGGGGTGTAAATGTTTGAACAATTATAAGATAAGACAAGATACAATAAGATTTTATTCAGATTTTTAACTCGGGGAATGAAAGTTTTAGTCACCCAGGATAACCCAGGATAGGGAGGGTTAGCCACCCAGGATAACCCAGGATAGGCAGGGTTAGCCACCCAGGATAATCCAATAAAGTCAGTGCATCATCAAAGACTATCTTGTTTCCATTGTGGTCCTTCAATCTTGTCCCCCAGGATGCCACCCACACCAGTCCACTAATATCTAGGTACCTACTTACAGCTAGGTGAACAGTGACAGCAGGTGTGAGATGACTAACATCCAGGTACCTACTTACTGTTAGGTGAACAGGGGAAGCTGAGGACATACAAACTCAATAGAATATGTGTATTAATACGTAGCTCAGGTTTTTGCGTGATTTATTCCTTAAAATCACGAATATTAAAAGGGTTTTGCCATGGACACCTGAAGAGGGTTTCGGGGGCCAACGCCCCCACGACCCAGTGTGACCAGGCCTTGTGGTGGATCAGGACCTGATCAACCAGGCTGTTGGTTTACTTAAATTAAGGGGATGAGGTGTTTTCTAAGAATAACTTTGAATTGATTGGCAGACAGAGGACCTTTTAATGATTCAGACAATGAATTCCAGATCTTAGGACCTTTTACAAGAACTGAGGTTTAACACAGGTTGAGTCAGACACAAGGATGTCAGAGAGAGTTTTGTGTCTTGTGTTACATGTTCTGTTATAGCTATCAAGGGAAAGTGTCAGAGGAAGGTTAATGTTGGAATTTATTGTTCTATATATATTGTAGGTACAATAATGAGTACATATTTTGTATATTAAGTAAGTTGAAGCTCTTGAAGAGTGGGAAGTGTGTTGTCTGTCACTGGAATGACTGATAGTCTATACAGCAGCTGTTTTTGGGTTATTAATGGTTTAAGGTGATTTATTGTGGTAGATCCCCAGGTATAAATACCATAGATGAAATAACGGTAGATAATTGAGTGGAATAGTGTAACAAGTGTTGTTTGGGGTACATAGTACCCTAAGTAACTTTGCTCAGGTACATATATTCACACAAATTATCATACATAGTAATATATGTGTAAATTACCCAGCATAACCTCAAGAAAGTCAAAATGGCTTATTTTTATTGGGTCCTTGTAATATCTTATTATTTAAACCAGAAAAGTTAAAAAAAATATCTTGGAGTTATTATTATTTAGGCACAGGTACAAATAAATACAATTACCATACATAGTGTAAATTACTCTAGGATAACCAAAAAAATGTCAACCAAAAGTAACTTAATTCCATTAGGGTCCTTAACTACTGTTTTAGGGACATATTTCAATTAATCAATCAAGTTTATCCTCTATAAAGAATACAATGTGGGGGTTTACATATAACAGAATATTGGTTACAATGTGTGGTTTACATATTATAAAATAGTAATTACAGAGAATGCCACTGTCATGCCTGACATGACTCGGCATCTCAGGCAGACTAAGATTAATTCAAACTTTATATTGGTACAGGTTATTATGGTAATATTAAAGGGAAGGTTCCTTAATGTTGGTGAGGGGCTCTTGATTTAGGGAATTGGATCTGTGCTTCAGTTCCCCGAATTAAGCCTGAATACCTTCCACATCCCCCCCCCAGGCGCTGTATAACCCTAGGGGTTTAGCGCTTCCCCCTTGATTATAATAATAATAATTGATATTAAGGCTTGGTAAGTACATTAGTTGGTAAATTTAGCAATGAGAATAGTTTTGTCTTAATATTTCCATCAGTGTTCAAAGTTATTACAAGACATGACACTCACCTCACTGGTGAACAGTTCTTCAGGCTTCATATTGGCCACACACCTCAAATGTTCTTCAAATAATGGAAGAACACGTGAACAACCTAGAGAATTTGAACGTTGAGTTGGTCCCTGGTCCCTGGTCCCTGGTCCCTGGTCCCTGGTCCAGGTCTCGTGCACACCGTCACACAACTCTTGTACTTCACTCATGGTAAGACAAGATCAATTTATTACCCAGAAACTTTATATTTATGTAAGTTAGCAAGTAAGTTTATTTAGACACAGGTACACATAAGTACAATTATCATACATAAAGTAAATTATCCAGAATAATCCAGTAAACTCAAAAAGACTTATTTCCTCAGGTGTCCTTGTAATATCATATTATTAAAAATTTGAAAATTTAAAACATCTAAGTAACTTAACTGTGTGAAAATCAGTTAATAGGTTAACAGTGTATTTCTTATAAATAAAATCATTATAACTGGTAATGGTTAATGGAGCAAACAACAATAACTTATTACTAAGTTACTTACACTGACGTGTAACTAACTTAGCAATATATTTAGTTAGGTACAGCTACACCTAAATTACCTCGAATAACCCAAAAAAAGTCAGAAAAAGTGACATATTTCCACTAGGGTCCTTGTTCCCCTTTGTCTTACTGGAAGTAACTTAATATTTCCTTCATAATTCCCGCTCATATATAACCTGGAGCTTCATATAAACTATCTCAATAATGTCAGCTATTCTTAAATCAACTGTAGATTGTATTTTGTAGAAATAAAGTTGATCATTTACCATATATCAAGGTAATTTTCCAGTCAGTCCCTCAAGGTCCCTTGATGCTGGTTAGGGGCTCTTGATCCAGGGAATTGGATGTGCTACGCTTCCCTGAATTAACCCTGAATATCTTCCATCTCCCCCCAACAGGAACTGTATAGTCCCTACGGGTTTACCTCTTCCCCATGATAATAATAATACATTATTTCAGCATGATACAATATTAATATAAAGGAAAATAACACTTGTGTGTACAAGCAGAAAGACCTTATATATACACACAATATATAAGGCCTTTCAGCCCTAAATTTACACCTTAAAAGGTGTAAATTTACACCTTAAAAGGTGTAAATTAAGGAGTTAAATAATGTAGAGACAGTAGTGAGAGGTGACACAAGTGTTAAGCTGGACTCCTGATAACTACCCTTGTGGTTTAGCGCTCCTCATAACTTTAATAATAAGTCAATAATCTAGTCTCACCAGTCATTATTTTCTTCCATGTGTTGAGTCCATCAGTCAGACTACAAGTGTATTATACAAGAATGTTGGTGCAGGATATACAGAAGATCTCGTGGCAGTACTTCAGAATGTATCCCTTCCAAGATATTCTCTGGCAGGTGAGTCATGTAGCATTATTATACTGATTATCATACTGATTATCATACCAAGATATTCTCTGGCAGGTGAGTCAGGCAACCATGTAGCATTATCATACTGATTATCATACTGATTATCATACAGGAGTATAATTATCATACAGGAGTATAATTATCATACAGGAGTATAATGATCATACAGGAGTATAATTATCATACAGGAGTATAATTATCATACAGGAGTATAATTATCATACAGGAGTATAATTATCGTACAGGAGTATAATTATCAATCATATATGAGTATAATTATCATACATAGTGATGTGTGTAAATTACCCAGGATAACAAAAACGTCACACAAAGTGACTTATTTCCACTGGTGTCCTTGTATTTCCACTGGTGTCCTTGTATTTCCACTGGTGTCCTTGTATTTCCACTGGTGTCCTTGTATTTCCACTGGTGTCCTTGTATTTCCACTGGTGTCCTTGTATTTCCACTGGTGTCCTTGTATTTCCAGTGGTGTCCTTGTATTTCCACTGGTGTCCTTGTATTTCCATTGTGGTCCTTGTATTTCCACTGGTGTCCTTGTATTTCCACTGGTGTCCTTGTATTTCCACTGGTGTCCTTGTATTTCCACTAGTGTCCTTGTATTTCCACTGGTGTCCTTGTATTTCCAGTGGTGTCCTTGTATTTCCAGTGGTGTCCTTGTATTTCCAGTGGTGTCCTTGTATTTCCAGTGGTGTCCTTGTATTTCCAGTGGTGTCCTTGTATTTCCACTGGTGACCTTGCATTTTCATTGGGGTCCTTGTAAGTAAATTTAGTCACAGGTACACAGTACAATTATCATACATAGTGTAAATTACCCAGGATAACCCAAAATGCCCAACAAAGTGCCTTATTTTAAATGGGGTCTTTACTAGTTGACTTTTTCAAAACTCAAAGATTTTTATTTTCAGAATATTATGCATAAATGTAACTTTTGTAAAACCCATAGTTAGTTTTTATGCTTAGTAAGGGCTCTTGATCCATAGAGTTGCAGCTCTCTTTTTTTTTCCCTGGATCAATGGAAATAAGTCACTTGATTTTTTTTGGGTTATCCTAGGTAATTTACACTATGTATGATAATTGTACTTATGTGTACCTGTGCCTAAATAAACTTAACTTACATTTTATATAGCCATGAGTCTCCTCACGACTATTATCATTTTTTTTGTGTGTGTGTGTTTTGTGTGTTCAAAACCAAGATAAAACCTTTGTAATTTTTTTGCAGGACCTCCAGAGACAACTGTCACTTCTCAGCTATGAAGATTTAATGAGTTCCCAACATCACCTTCTGGCCAGTACGGTTCAACATCCTATTGCTCAAAAGTATCCAGTTACTGTGGCCTACACGCGTTCTTTCCTAAAAACACTAATTTCTTTGGTAAAAAAACGATATGTGTATATAGTATGCATTATATATTATGATAATGTCACAGTGGCTCTGAAAATGACGATTAACTTTATTGTAATAGTATTGAGAAAATAATGTTACTTAGCCTATATGAGTATTTTTTTCTAATTTAAATCATTGTATCTAATTCTCAACCTAACCTAAGTCCATTCACCTGAAAAAATATATCAAAATTGTCTAGGTACGTCGTCAGCCATTACCATTAATTGCAATGATCAGTGAGACTAACATTGCTTTTCACTCACACTAATAAAGCTGTTTCTAATTCCAATATATGTTCTAGTGGTCCCTTGTACATTTTTGTCACATTGCAAAACTCACTGCAGAAATTTCAATGCTTCTATGTGCAGTATTTTATTTTTCATGAAGATTTAAATCATTTAGTAACCATATGAAATATTGTATACTGGAGTTCTGTATTACAGTATACTGTACTTTCTAGTGTGTAATTGATTATCTAGATATTATGTCTAGTGTTATGCTAGTGACTTTCTTTTCTGCATAACATTACCTGTATACTGCATAACATTACCTGTATACTGCATAACATTACCTGTATACTGCATAACATTACCTGTATACTGCATAACATTACCTGTATACTGCATAACATTACCTGTATACTGCATAACATTACCTGTATACTGCATAACATTACCTGTATACTGCACAACATTACCTGTATACTGCATAACATTACCTGTATACTGCATAACATTACCTGTATACTGCATAACATTACCTGTATACTGCATAACATTACCTGTATACTGCATAACATTACCTGTATACTGCACAACATTACCTGTATACTGCATAACATTACCTGTATACTGCATAACATTACCTGTATACTGCATAACATTACCTGTATACTGCACAACATTACCTGTATACTGCATAACATTACCTGTATACTGCATAACATTACCTGTATACTGCATAACATTACCTGTATACTGCATAACATTACCTGTATACTGCATAACATTACCTGTATACTGCATAACATTACCTGTATACTGCATAACATTACCTGTATACTGCATAACATTACCTGTATACTGCATAACATTACCTGTATACTGCATAACATTACCTGTATACTGCATAACATTACCTGTATACTGCATAACATTACCTGTATACTGCATAACATTACCTGTATACTGCATAACATTACCTGTATACTGCATAACATTACCTGTATACTGCACAACATTACCTGTATACTGCATAACATTATACTGCATAACATTACCTGTATACTGCAGAAAAGAAATACATAAATTATTTGTATTTGTATTAGTATATATTTGATGTATAACAGTCCAGATGTTCATTCAGTATTGGAAACAAATGGCTATTGTGGTGAAATGTATAAAAAATCATTACAGCTTGAAGCGAGTAATTGTGAAGTGAGTGAAGAGCTTTACACAGCATACACTAAGTTGCTCTCCCAGAGCTCTTTATTACACTTAAGTGACTACTACTACAGAACTTACAGCTTGGGGGATGCTGATGCCATCACACTTAAAGAAACATCCAAACTTATTTATGATGGGACAACAGGCTTGTGCACGTGGGAGGTCAGTGATTCTCTCTTACTGTATATACATACTGTACTTGAATTTGAATTTGATAGAAAACTTTCAAGTAATAGGATAAAACAAAAACATTTACTAAGTTCTTTTATTGAGCAATGTTTTAATAAAGCATGTTACTTGATCAAGCCAGACCTGAATGATATATATTTGTGTTTTGCCCTAATTTATTCTTGATTGACTGCCTCTGACATACTCTGCACCTTCGCTAGTCTCTGATCTGGCATTATACATCTTTAGTATGCCCTACCCTGTAGTGCTGTATGACCCTAATGGGTTTAGCACTTAGTTTTGATTGTATTATTAATATTATTTATGTTCTTGATTGAGATTTTAGGTGTTTTTAAATGATTCTTCAGAAGTCTTGAACACTTTAAAGCAGTTAATATGTTTTGATAATATTCTGCCTGTTCTTCATGAGGTGTCTACTCAAGACTAAGTTTTCAGAGGAAGCAAGATACAGTAGAGAGAGAGATTTATTATACATTAATAGTGGAGACAAAAAAGACAGTTGCAAAGAGGAACTTTATGGAGAATTTTTGCCTTTGGAACCGGTTTCTTTATCCGCTTCTCCCACAGGTGAAGCATCTCAAGAAAGATCTTCTATTCACTTGTGTTTTATTTTCTCCATTTGTCAGCTTTGTGACATTTGTCTTCATTACATCAATGTTATGGAAGAAGTCCCATTGAAACTTGTGACTACAAATAAAAACAATACACCACTGTCAAATATAAACAGGTAAACCTGATTGCTTTTATATGCTTTCTTGCATATCTTCACAGGAGTGTAGCTGTGAGTGTAAGTACATGAAAGTGAACTGGTTTTCCTGGTTATTTTTACATGACAATGACATATTGATGAATAAGACATGTGCATCTTGTTCATCAACAGATTTTGGATTACAGTAACGCATAATGTTAGTGCCAGTCTTAGCAACTTTAAATCAGCATTATTTGACTTCATTTTCATACTCAGCAGTTTTATACACTACCCTTCAAAGGGAATGCCTTGGTGCCAGTGAAGGGCTCTTGTTCTAAGGAACTGGTGCTCTTCTCCCCATTGACTGAATGTGATTATTTCCTATTCCCCATGTGATGTATGACTCCTATTAGTTTACTGCTGGTTAGTGCTGTTTATAAAATAGCTGGAGTATTCAAAATTATTTATTTTCACTAAACCTCATGGTTAATATTTTTATTACAGGATTTTTCTTAGAAATCATCTTAATTTAAAATGATATTTTGCAGGCTAGTCACATACTGGCAGAGTGGTGTTGCAAAGAATCTCATCATTTCAAGAATAAGAAAATTTTAGAGCTGGGTGCTGGTTTGGGGTTTTTAGGCCTGACGGTTGTTCAACGATGTAAGCCTCTGTCATACACCTTCACAGACAAACATCCGTCTGTCCTCACGACTTTAACTGAAAACATACTAATAAATACGACTGGAAAGCAGTCTGACTTGGCTCAACATGACATGGAAAAAATAGCCAACCTTAATTACTTGGTAAGAAAAGCAACTTTGATTACTCAAAATTTGATTACATCATTATCCTGTGTCTGCTTCATATTAAAAAGTGTCCTGCTTGTATTCCTTTAGTTATAGTGTGTCATATTGTTCATAAATACAGTATAGTAGGACCCCTGTATCCGCGGGTCTGGTTTCCGCGATTTCAGTTATCCGTGGTTTACTGTGGCCTGAAATTAAGCCTTAATTTTGCTTAATAATGGCCTCAAAGTGCAAAAGTAGTAATACTGGCAGTTCTTCAAAGCCTAAGAGAAGCTGTGAAGTAATTCCTGTTGGTGAAAAAGTGCCAATTCTCGACTTATTGTGCGCAATTTATCAGTTAAACTTTATAATAGATATGTATGTAATGATAAACCACTTATATATAAGGTTCACTACTATCCTCGGTTTTGGTATCTGCGGCAGGTCCTTGTAGCATATCCCCTAATGGATACAGGGATCCTATGGAATGCCTATATCTGTATTGTACTGTATAGAAAAATAAGGTTAATTCAGTGTTCCTTTCAGGTAAATGATTTTACGGTACTGTACACTAACATCAAGATTCAAGTCAGAAGATTAGACTGGGAAAGAGATTCATGTGATTTTGATGTTGATGTTGTGCTGGCTGCAGGTACTGTATATGTACATTACTGCTCAAGTAATGTACATGTGAAGGGTCTGTGAATTAATCTTGAATAATAGAGTTATATGATGTCTAATTAAATACTAAATCAACTTTTGTTGTTATACAGCATTAGTTGTTATGCAGTTTTAGTTGTTATATATGTTGCTTCAACTTTCAGATGTGGTTTATGACTGTGATGTCATAATACATTTAGTGAAGGTGTTGAATTATGCACTAAGAAGAAAACCTGGTGTAGTAGCATATGTTGCCTGCACTATAAGGAACCCAGATACATATGCTTTCTTCAAGCATACTTTAGGTAAAGTTTTATGCAAATTTCTTTCTTTTTTCTCATCATATTTATTCCTGAGGGTATACAAAGGTTATTTTACTGTAGTACAGTGGACCCCCGGTTAACGATATTTTTTCACTCCAGAAGTATGTTCAGGTGCCAGTACTGACCGAATTTGTTCCCATAAGAAATATTGTGAAGTAGATTAGTCCATTTCAGACCCCCAAACATACACATACAAACGCACTTACATAAATACACTTACATAATTGGTCACATTCGGAGGTAATCGTTATGCAGGGGTCCACTGTACTTGTATTATCTATTGGCATTAGCACTCAAAACCTTATTCTTCCAAAAATATAAAAGAAGAAAATGTTTTACATAATTTTACCACACCAAAACAGTGTTACTGTTGAGTACACCTACTTGGGAATTGCTATATGTTGATACTTGAAGTATTGTATTACATTCCATAGTCAGGGCCAGATTAAGGCATGGGCTTTAGGGGCTGGAGCCCCTAAAGCCCAGCTGCCAGCTGGAGGACCTCCAGAGATAATTTGGAAAGTGTCCTCAGTTGCTGCTGTAAGTGTATAATTATAGTATGTTATTACATCATACATATGATGAACTGTTACCTGTCACCCTTCTGGTAAGACAATGATTGAGTGACTGAGGGTTACCCTACCTGGAGTATTAAATTATATTAGAAATAGGTAGTGGTGTACATCCATTGAAATCATTGGTAGGAGAAGGAGGCATTGTGATTACAGGTATGATTAGGATTTTTGATCATCATGTGACTTTATTGACTAGAGAAAAATTATACCTGTGATTGATTTCGAGTTTTCTACCCTTGCAGCCAGGCCGGGACCAGGCTTTTTTGTTGATTGCCTGTTCATCCAGGCTATTGCTGTTGATGGCCCATTATTCCACATATTCATTAGAGCCTGGTTGGTCTGCCACTTGGCAGAGGGATCCGGTTTCCTCTTGGCAACTTTTACACTTCTGGCAATATTTCTTATGTAGAAGATGGGAGAAAATAATGGTGCAGAGATCTTGATGCAGAGAGATCCTGATCATGGTGCAGAGAGATCCTGATCATAGTGCAGAGAGATCCTGATCATGGTGCAGAGAGATCCTGATCATGGTGCAGAGAGATCTTGATCATGGTGCAGAGGATCCTGATCATGGTGCAGAGAGATCCTGATCATGGTGCAGAGAGATCTTGATCATGGTGCAGAGAGATCCTGATCATGGTGCAGAGAGATCCTGATCATGGTGCAGAGAGATCTTGATCATGGTGCAGAGAGATCCTGATCATGGTGCAGAGAGATCCTGATCATGGTGCAGAGAGATCCTGATCATGGTGCAGAGAGATCCCAATCATAAAAGGGTAGTCTTTTTTATTTTTTAACTATTTTTTTTTTTTTTTTTTTATTATCACACCGGCCGATTCCCACCAAGGCAGGGTGGCCCGAAAAAGAAAAACTTTCACCATCATTCACTCCATCACTGTCTTGCCAGAAGGGTGCTTTACACTACAGTTTTTAAACTGCAACATTAACACCCCTCCTTCAGAGTGCAGGCACTGTACTTCCCATCTCCAGGACTCAAGTCCGGCCTGCCGGTTTCCCTGAATCCCTTCATAAATGTTACTTTGCTCACACTCCAACAGCACGTCAAGTATTAAAAAACCCAAATTGTCTCCATTCACTCCTATAAAACACGCTCACCATCCCTTTGCGGGAAAGTCCAAGCCCCTCGCACACAAAACCTCCTTTACCCCCCCCCTCCCGACCCTTCCTAGGCCGACCCCTACCCCGCCTTCCTTCCATACAGACTGAACACTCTTGAAGTCATTCTGTTTCGCTCCATTCTCTCTACATGTCCAAAACCACCTCAACAACCCTTCCTCAGCCCTCTGGACAACAGTTTTGGTAATCCCGCACCTCCTCCTAACTTCCAAACTACGAATCTCTGCATTATTTTCACACCAACATTGCCCTCAGACATGACATCTCCACTGCCTCCAGCCTTCTCCTCGCTGCAACATTCATCACCCACGCTTCACACCCATATAAGAGCTTTGGGTTTAAAACTATACTTCATCATTCCCTTTTTGCCTCCAAGGACAAAGTTCTTTGTCTCCACAGACTCCTAAGTGCACCACTCAATCTTTTTTCCCTCATCAATTCTATGATTTTACCTCATCTTTCATAGACCCATCCCCTGACACGTCCACTCCCAAATATCTAATACGTTCACCCCCTCCATACTCTCTCCCTCCAATCTGATATTCAATCTTTCATCACCTAATCCCTTTTTTTTATCCTCATAACCTTACTCTTTCCTGTATTCACCTTTAATTTTCTTCTTTTGCACACCCTACCAAATTATCCACCAATCTCTGCAAATTCTCTTCAGAATCTCCCAAGAGCACAGTGTCATCAGCAAAAAGCAGCTGTGACAACTCCCACTTTGTGTGTGATTTTTTTATCTTTTAACTCCACGCCTCTTGCCCAAAACCCTCGCATTTACTTCTCTTACAACCCCATCTATAAATATATTAAACAACCACGGTGACATCACACATCCTTGTCTAAGGCCTACTTTTACTGGGGAAAAAAATTTCCCTCTTTTCCCACATACTCTAACTTGAGCCTCACTATCCTCGTAAAAACCTTCACTGCTTTCAGTAACCTACCTCCTACACCATACACTTGCAACATCTGCCACATTGCCCCCCTATCCACCCCGTCATACGCCCTTTTCCAAATCCATAAAAAGCCACAAAACCTCTTTAGCCTTATCTAAATACTGTTCACTTATATGTTTTCACTGGGAAACACCTGGTCCAAAACACCCCCTACCTTTCCTAAAAACCCCCTTGTTCATCCCGCTATCCTATTCTCCGTCTTACTCTTAATTCTTTCAATTATAACTCTACCATACACTTTACCAGGTACACTCAACAGACTTATCCCCTATAATTTTTGCACTCTCTTTTATCCCCTTTGCCTTTTTTACAAAGGAACTATGCAGCTCTCGCCAATCCCTAGGTACCTTACCCTCTTCCATACATTTATTAAATAATTGCACCAACCACTCCAAAACTATATCCCCACCTGCTTTTAACATTTCTATCTTTATCCCATCAACCCCGGCTGCCAAAACCCCCTTTCATTTTACCTACTGCCTCACGAACTTCCCCACACTCACAACTGGCTCTTCCTCACTCCTACAAGATGTTATTCCTCCTTGCCCTATACACGAAATCACAGCTTCCCTATCTTCATCAACATTTAACAATTCCTCAAAATATTCCTTCCATTTTCCCCAAATCCCTCTAACTCTCCATTTAATAACTCTCCTCTCCTATTTTTAACTGACAAATCAATTTGTTCTCTAGGCTTTCTTAACTTGTTAATCTCACTCCAAAACTTTTTCTTTTTTCAACAAAATTTGTTGATAACATCTCACCCACTTCTCTCATTTGCTCTCTTTTTACATTGCTTCACCACTCTCTTAACCTTCTCTCTTTTTCTCCATATACCCCTTCCCTCCTTGCATCACTTTCTACTTTGTAAAAACTTCTCATATGCTAACTTTTTCTCCCTTACTACTCTCTTTACATCATCATTCCACCAATCGCTCCTCTTCCCTCCTGCACCCACTTTCCTGTACCCACAAACTTCTGCTAAACACTCAACATACATTTTTAAACCTACCCCATACCTCTTCGCCCCCATTGCCTATGCTCTCATTAGCCATCTATCCTCCAATAGCTGTTTATATCTTACCCAAAACTGCCTCCTCTTTTAGTTTATAAACCTTCACCTCTCTCTTCCCTGATGCTTCTATTCTCCTTGTATCCCATCTACCTTTTACTCTCAGTGTAGCTACAACTAGAAAGTGATCTGATATATCTGTGGCCCCTCTATAAACATGTACATCCTGAAGTCTACTCAACAGTCTTTTATCTACCAATACATAATCCAACAAACTACTGTCATTTCGCCCTACATCATATCGTGTATACTTATTTATCCTCTTTTTCTTAAAATATGTATTACCTATAACTAAACCCCTTTCTATACAAAGTTCAATCAAAGGGCTCCCATTATCATTTACACCTGGCACCCCAAACTTACCTACCACACCCTCTCTAAAAGTTTCTCCTACTTTTTAACTATGTAAAATAGTATTTTAATTATTGTAATTCCCATCTCAGGCTGAGAATTAACTGATACTTATGCTTTATTCATGCTTAAAGAGCACACAGGCACAATACTGTGACTGGAACAATACACAACTAACCTGCACTTGGAAGTAAGAAATTTTATGATGATGTTTTGGTCCAACAGTGTGAATAGTTATTGGTTCAAATCGGACCGAAACATCGTCTTTAAGTTTGTTTCTCCTACGTACGGGTTATTTGTGCATTATTTATGGGCCGCGGGGGGCGTTGACCCCCGGAACTCTCTCCAGGTAAAAACTCCAGGTATTCATTTAGGGTATATTTTGTTTTACCCTTGTCTTGATATATGCAAGTACATGTACTATATATTTTTTCTTACTTTAACAACATAATGGTTATAATTTCTTTGAGTTCTTGGTTAATCTTGTCTCTTTCAGCATCCAGTGGTCTGGTTGTAGCTTCAGAAACCCACCACCAATATCAGAAGTCTCCATCACAACCAAAAATGTCTGTCATCATCCTCCATATATCACTGTAAGGTTAGCATTTACCTAGACTTGTACTTATGTATCTTAAAAGCAAACTAAAGAACAAGCATCCATGATCTTATCTTGCATTAAAGATACTTTCCTGAGAGTTTCTTCAAGGTGGATGCTTGTGAAGGCATTTTTATCCAATTGAGATAATCCTTAGCCCTATTAATAGATAATTTTAATCTATGTCCCATACCTTACCTCTTCCATAATCAGTTGTAAAACACTATTCTGAATTATCATTCCAGTTTTAGCTTTTTCTTAAATCTTTTTCTCAGATTACTTGTGTAATTTACTTTTAATCCACCAGCCATCTCCCACTATGTTAGGGTGATTCAAAAAAGATAAAGCTCATTCACCATCAGTCATTCAATTGCTATCTTTTAAGAAGCTCATTAACATCACATAACTCATATTAAATATAAATCTCTGTTGGTGAGAGTATTTCTTTCTTTTTTGGGTCACCCTGCCTCAGTGGAAGATGGCCAACGTGTTGAAAAAAAAGAAGAATTCTTCCTTTGTAAGCCACGTGTATCGTAAGAGGCGATTAAAATGCCGGGAGCAAGGGGATGGTAATCTTTCTTTTGTATAAATTACTAAATGTAAAAAGAAGAAAAGCTTTTGTTTCTTCTTTTTCAGGTCACTGCCTCAGTAGGAGATAGCCAGTGTGTTAAAAAATATAGCTACTGTATATTTTTATAACTGCTGATATTCCATGTTTACTAATTCTCTCGATGTATTGTCTTCTAATATCTTTGCTTTTAGCCGTGAGAATAACAATTCTGTCTCGAGAGTTGAAGGTATTTTAGTCTTATGATAGGTTTAAGTTTGTCTTGCCTGAAATACTCAGTATAAGTAGTTTTGTAAAAACTATGTATCAGTATTGTCATATTTTTTAACACACCGTCTGTCTTCCACTGAGGTAGGGTGACCCAAAAAAGAAGAAACACTTTCACCATCATTTACTCTTATCAGTCTTGCCTGAGGCGTGCCAATACTACAGTTCAGATGCCCCTCCGAACTGCAAATTATTATTATTACCGCCACCACCACTCGGTGTGCTGAATGACTCACACAGGTGTAAAGCTTCTTTTAAATACAGTGGAACCTTGGTGTTTGAATTTAATTGGTTCCTAGGTGGTGTTCGAACTGTGAAAGGTTCAATGTCTGAAACAATATTTCCTAGGCTTTAATTATCAGCCTCGCACACTGGAGGCTGTTGACCTGGCTCTTCGAAAAGTTTCTGAGAGTTAGGTCAGTGTCAGAGGTCACTTCAAAGCATTTTTGAACAGGGCTTTTATGTAAAGCTTTTTACAACTGAATTGTAAACAGGTCGGCACATTTGGACTTCATAAAAACATTCAAAGACCGGGTCATTTTTTTCATGAACAAAATTGCTCGGACTCCAGTTCATTTGAGGTCTGGTACTTTCGAACACCGAGGTTCCGCTGTCTTCTAATGTACCATTCGATCCCTGTAAAACCATATCAGTGAGTTTTAGGTCTAATTTATGTCTGGCCACAATGATGTAGATAATTATTATTTTTCTAAACATACATTTTTTTTTTTTTACTTTTTCAACAAGTCGGCCGTCTCCCACCGAGGCAGGGTGACCCAAAAAAAAAAGAAAGAAAATCCCCAAAAAGAAAATACTTTCATCATCATTCAACACTTTCACCACACTCACACATTATCACTGTTTTTGCAGAGGTGCTCAGAATACAACAGTTTAGAAGCATACACATATAAAGATACACAACATATCCCTCCAAACTGCCAATATCCCAAACCCCTCCTTTAAAGTTCAGGCATTGTACTTCCCATTTCCAGAACTCAAGTCCGACTCTATGAAAATAACCGGTTTCCCTGAATCCCTTCACTAAATATTACCCTGCTCACACTCCAACAGATCGTCAGGTCCCAAGTACCATTCGTCTCCATTCACTCCTATCTAACACGCTCATGCACGCTTGCTGGAAGTCCAAGCTCCTTGCCCACAAAACCTCCTTTACCCCCTCTCTCCAACCCTTTCGAGGATGACCCCTACCCCGCCTTCCTTCCCCTATAGATTTATATGCTTTCCATGTCATTCTACTTTGATCCATTCTCTCTAAATGACCAAACCACCTCAACAACCCCTCTTCTGCCCTCTGACTAATACTTTTATTAACTCCACACCTTTTCCTAATTTCCACACTCCGAATTTTCTGCATAATATTTACACCACACATTGCCCTTAAACAGGACATCTCCACTGCCTCCAACCATCTCCTTGCTGCTGCATTTACCACCCAAGCTTCACACCCATATAAGAGTGTTGGTACTACTATACTTTCATACATTCCCTTCTTTGCCTCCATAGATAACGTTTTTTGACTCCACATATACCTCAACGCACCACTCAACTTTTTTCCCTCATCAATTCTATGATTAACCTCATCCTTCATAAATCCATCCGCCGACACGTCAACTCCCAAGTATCTGAAAACATTCACTTCTTCCATACTCCTCCTCCCCAATTTGATATCCAATTTTTCTTTATCTAAATCATTTGATACCCTCATCACCTTACTCTTTTCTATGTTCACTTTCAACTTTCTACCTTTACACACATTCTCAAACTCACCCACTAACCTTTGCAATTTTTCTTTAGAATCTCCCATAAGCACAGTATCATCAGCAAAAAGTAACTGTGTCAATTCCCATTTTGAATTTGATTCCCCAAAATTTAATCCCACCCCTCTCCGAACACCCTAGCATTTACTTCCTTTACAACCCCATCTATAAATATATTAAACAACCATGGTGACATTACACATCCCTGTCTAAGACCTACTTTTACTGGGAAGTATTCTCCCTCTCTTCTACACACCCTAACCTGAGCCTCACTATCCTCATAAAAACTCTTTACAGCATTTAATAACTTACCACCTATTCCATATACTTGCAACATCTGCCACATTGCTCCTCTATCCACTCTATCATATGCCTTTTCTAAATCCATAAATGCAATAAAAACTTCCCTACCTTTATCTAAATACTGTTCACATATATGCTTCAATGTAAACACTTGATCTACACATCCCCTACCCACTCTGAAACCTCCTTGCTCATTCGCAATCCTACATTCTGTCTTACTTCTAATTCTTTCAGTTATAACCCTACCGTACACTTTTCCTGGTATAGTCAGTAAACTTATTCCTCTATAATTTTTACAGTTTCTTTTGTCCCCTGTAATTCAGTGGAATATGTATCCTTAGAAATAAAGTTGATTTATTGATTGAAATTTGTTTTACAGGTGCAGTATAATTATTAGTCCTGCAGGTACTAGTACTGCTGGTACTGGTCCAGTGGCACTGGTCCTGGTCCTGGTCCTGGTCCTGATCCTGGTCCTGGTCCTGGTCCTGCTGGTATTGGTACACACTCAAGATTCGAGACACTCTAGCTTCCAGGTGTGCATCACCACATGCTGTCACCTTCAGTCATCATCATTGGTCACCATTTTAAGTCTATGATTGTCATAGAAAATCTGTATACAGTATAATATGTAAAGAACACACATGTAGAAATAGACTTGAATAAAAAATTGTATTTTTATAGAATGTTAATACATCAGTTCCCACTTGGATTTAAACATGTATTTTGAAAAAGGAATACGTACATTTCAAAGTAATCTGGTTCTCCTGCTACCAATATTTCAGTAGTTTTATTATTTTCCCAGTTCCTCTTTCCTCTTCCTATATATTGGTGAAACTGGCTTTTTCCATTTTTAACAGACTTAAATAGTGGAAGAGAAGTGCTTGCCTTTCTAACACTAATAATGCTCTTTTTTATCATGGATAAGTAAAATGTAATGAACACTTGTTAATGCTCAGTAATAACCCACATGGAGGAAAAACTCAGGTGATTAATTGATCTGTATATTTTGATTGTTTTCTGAACAGGATCCCAGAAGGGGGGTTGAAATATACAGATCAATTAATCACCCAAGTTTCTGTCTCCATGTGGGTTATTACTGATCATTTTCTGTCATGTTATGGACCAGAGCAAACATCAGCTAGCAGAGCTGTCAGTCTTAAACTTTATATTTAGTGTTTCTGAAGCAATAAGTTTCTCATGCTCTTTCTGCTAGCCTGAGTAATTTACTTTTCATGATTTATGGTGAATGTGTTTCTTCTTTATTGGGTCACCCTACTTCTTACCAGGTTATAAGAGCCATATTCAAAATTATTGATATAATCAAGAGATGTAATTCTTGTAGGCCTGGTAGGCAACGCTCTCGCCTCACACACTGAGTGTTCGTGGTTCAGTCCCCGGCAAGAGTGGAAACATTAGGTATGTTTCCTTACACCTGCTGTTTCCATTCACCTAGCAAGCAAGTAGGTACCTGGGTGTTAGTTGACTGGTGTGGGTTGCATCCTGAGGGGACAAGATTGAGGACCCCAGTGGAAATAAGATGATGCACTGCCTTACTTGGGTTATCCTGGGTGGCTAACCCTCCGGGATTAAAAATCCATACAAAATCTTAACTAGGTATAAGGATCATAAATTGCAAAAAACACAAGAAACTAAGTTTATTTAATTAAGGACCACATGAAAAGTCAAACTTACTGATGATGTTATGTGTAACAGTAGTAATTATTGTGCATATGAGGAGGTATTTGCATATTGGTGATGAGGTTTTCCAAAAAAGTTAGAAGTGATGATAGTCATGGAGGCCACAACTACTCACCCAAAGGCAAATTTTGGAAAATGCATACAAATACAGTACAGTATAAATATGGACAATACATAATGAATTGTATGTTAGTAATATTTACATTGATAATACAGTGTGTTCTGTAGAAAGTCGAGCAAATTACACATTTCTAAATATACAGACAGCGCTGAATAATCCTTATGGGTTTAGCGCTTTCCATAAGTATAATAATAATAATACATGGTACACAGAATTGTGTACATGTGCGCCTTACTCCGGTCATGAAAATTTCATTTGGATAATAAGTTAACTGTGTCAAAATAATTTTTATATACAGTTTGGGTGCATAACTAAACCATTAAATTTTGGTCAGCCTTCATGTGTGATTTATAGGTACGAACTTTAATATTAATGTGATACTTTTAAAAACTTTTGTAAATAAATTTATAGAAAATTTTACAATATCAAGTAAGTTATTAGTTTTTGATATGAAATTTAAGTAGATAATAAATATTTTGTGTCTAGGCTGTTGTTTATGGTTTCTTAGGAAATAAAATGACTTATTTTATATGTGTATGGTTATCTAGCCATAAGTTTTAACAAATACTAAAAATATTTCTGAACTGTAGTCAACTTGTCTCATTTTTTCAAATAGAAATTGAGTAACAATTAGTGTTTAAAAACCTCCTTAAGTGGCTGAGCAAAATTGTTGTGGTGTAGCGTAGAGGATAACTATGGTCGTGTTTGCGATGATCTTAATTAAGGTGACATAGACTGTAGCTGTCTGCTCGTCTTTTTACCCGATAAAATAACTGTCATTTCTTGAAATATATTTCCATTGGAAAGAAAATTGAAGCAGACGGTTACAGTCAGTACATGTAAAGCCCAGCGACTGTAAGCTATGTTGGTGAAGCATAATAAACAGGTAATGGGGTACACTGCACGTTGTGAGTTGAGAAGAAAGCATTATAGGGATATTTCACACTTATAAGGGAGAACATTCATTCATAAGACTTTTACATTAGTCATATTAATTACATTTTAAGTGACTGAATGATAACCTACATTAATTGTATTCATAAACGTTCTGCATTATTTAATTAGAATGTTGGGGAAATTTCTGACTTTCAGTACAGTATTTTGCATTGAATGAATATACTTTTTTATCAGGAGAATTATTGAACTTGAGCAAATGGCACTGAGTAAAATAAACCACCATGACTGCTGAGTAACAGTTACAGTATAGTTAGTGTTACATCTCCTGGTCTTACTGGTACCTCTCTCAAGACCTTCACTATATTATTGGCACTTTTTGGGAAGGATTTTACAGCATACACACACACACAGTGTGTGTATGTGTGTACTCACCTAATTGTGATTGCAGGGGTCGATTCATACCTCCTGACCTCGCCTCTTTGCTGGTCTCTACTAGATCACTCTTCCTGCTCCATGAGCTTTATCATACCTCTTTTTAAAGATATGTATGGACCCTGCCACCACTACATCACTTCCCAGACTGTTCCACTTCCTAACAACTCTGTGGCTGAAGAAATACTTCCTAACATCCCTGTGATTCATCTGAGTTTTCAGCTTCCAACTGTGATCTCTTGTTGCTGTGTCCCATCTCTGGAGGAACACAGGGAGGGACAGCAGGGAGAGAACCTAGTAGCGACCAGTGAAGAGGTGGGGCCAGGAACTGAGTCTTGACCCCTGCAATTACAATTAGGTGAGTACACACACTCACACCTGTTTAGTTTTGTATGATTTGATTTTTTATTTGCAATTCAGACAAATGTTCAGGGTATAGCTGTTACTTTTACAACCTTGACAAAGCAACTCCCAGGTTGTGAATATAATGTATAAACGATACAATATAACACAACTTCTCTTCTAACATACAGGTCTGAGGACACTATGTCCATTTACCTAACATTCTGTTGATAATTCTGCCATTATTACCTTCATAGATTTTGCTTCCTCAATTTTTCCCTTTAGAGGAAAAACTAAATTCGGTAGTATCTGGGACGGTACTACTGAATTTAGTTTTTCCTCTAAAGGGAAAAATTGAGAAAGCAAAATCTATGAAGGTAATAATGGTAGAATTACCGACAGAATGTTAGGTAAATGGACAAAGATGCAACTAATGTGACATTTTATCGTGGCAATGTTTCGCTCTCTGGTAGCCTTGTTAAGCCCTTATGGTTTGACAAAGCTCCTGGAACCTGGTGTCCTCGGAACCTGGTGTCCTTAGAACCTGGCATCTTTGGAACCTAGTCACCTTGGGGCACAATGTCCTCAGAACCTAGTGTCTTTGGATCCTGGTATCCTCAGAACCTGGCATTCTTGAAACCTGGTATCCTCATAACCTGGCATCCTCGGAACCTAGTATCCTCGGAATCTGGTATCCTCAGAACTTGGCGTCTTTGTAACCTAGCATCCTCAGAGAGCTTGTTAACCTGTTACTCTTATTGTACCTCAAGTGTCTACACTGTACCCTCAGTTGCTGTATTGTATCCTCAGTGCCTATATTGTATTTATCAGTGCCTATATTGTATTTATCAGTGCCTATATTGTATTTGTCAGTGGCTATATTACAACTCTTCGTGGCTATATTACATGTCCACTGCCTTTATTGCATCTTCCAGTGCCTTTATTTTATCCCTCAGTGCCTTTATTGCACCCCCAGTGCCTTTATTGCATCCCTCAGTAGTTTTATTGCATCCCCCAGTGCCTTTATTGCATCCTTCAGTGCCTTTATTGCATCCCCCAGTGTCTATATTGTACACTCAGTTGCTATAGTCAGCCTTCAATGACTATATTGCATCCCTCAATGCATATATTACATCCCTCAATGCATATATTGAATCCCTCAGTGCATATATTGCATCCCTCAGTATCTATATTGCATCCCTCAGTGCCTACATTGCATCCCCTCAGTGCCTATATTGCATCCCCTCAGTGCCTATATTGTCATCCCCTCAGTGCATGCCTCAGTGCCTACATTGCATGCCTCAGTGCCTACATTGCATGCCTCAGTGCCTACATTGCATGCCTCAGTGCCTATGATGCATGCCTCAATGCCAACTTTGCATGCCTCAATGCCTACATTGCATGTTTCAGTGCCTACATTGCATACTTCAGTGCCTACATTGCATGTCTCCCTCAGTGCCTACATTGCATGCTTCCCTCAGTGCCTATATTGCATGTCTCAGTGCCTTCATTGCATGTCTCAGTGCCTACACTGCATGTCTCAGTGCCTACACTGCATGTCTCAGTACCTACACTGCATGTCTCAGTGCCTACACTGCATGCCTCAGTGCCTAAATTGCATGCCTCCCTCAGTGCCTATATTGCATGTCTCAGTGCCTACATTGCATGTATCAGTGCCTACACTGCATGTCTCAGTGCTTACTCTGCATGTCTCAGTGCCTACACTGCATGTCTCAGTGCCTACATTGCATGTCTCAGTGCCTACATTGCATGCCTCCCTCAGTGCCTATATTGCATGTCTCAGTGCCTACATTGTATGTCTCAGTCCTTACATTGCATGTCTCAGTGCCTACATTGCATGTCTCAGTGCTTACATTGCATGCCTCAGTGCATACATTGCATGCCTCAGTGCATACATTGCATGCCTCCGTCAGTGCCTATATTGCATGTCTCAGTGCCTACATTGCATGTCTCAGTGCCTACACTGCATGTCTCAGTGCCTACACTGCATGTCTCAGTGCCTACACTGCATGTCTCAGTGCCTACATTGCATGTCTCAGTGCCTACATTGCATGCCTCCCTCAATGCCTATATTGCATGTCTCAGTGCCTACACTGCATGCCTCAGTGTCGACATTGCATGTCTCAGGGCCTACATTGTATGCCTTAGTGCCTACACTGCATGTCTCAGTGCCTACACTGCATGTCTCAGTGCCTACACTGCATGTCTCAGTGCCTACACTGCATGCCTCAGTGCCTACACTGCATGTCTCAGTGCCTACACTGCGTGCCTCAGTGCCGACATTGCATGTCTCAGTGCCTACATTGCATGTCTCAGTGCCTACACTGCATGCCTCAGCACCTACACTGCATGTCTCAGTGCCTACATTGCATGTCTCAGTGCCTACATTGCATGCCTCCCTCAGTGCCTATATTGCATGTCTCAGTGCCTACACTGCATGCCTCAGTGCCGACATTACATGTCTCAGGGCCTACATTGTATGCCTTAGTGCCTACACTGCATGTCTCAGTGCCTACACTGCATGTCTCAGTGCCTACACTGCGTGCCTCAGTGCCGACATTGCATGTCTCAGTGCCTACATTGCATGTCTCAGTGCCTACACTGCATGCCTCAGCACCGACATTGCATGTCTCAGTGCCTACATTGCATGCCTCAGTGCCTACATTGCATGCCTCCCTCAGTGCCTATATTGCATGTCTCAGTGCCTACATTGTATGTCTCAGTGCTTACATTGCATGTCTCAGTGCCTACATTGCATGTCTCAGTGCTTACATTGCATGCCTCAGTGCGTACATTGCATGACTCAGTACCTACATTGCATGCCTCAGTGCCTACATTGCATGCCTCAGTGCCTATATTGCATGTCTCAGTGCCTATATTATCACTTGCTAATTACTTCTTAACAGTTAAGTGCTGCTCTTATCAAGCTTAGGACTTTCTTTGGATATGGTGCTTTTAATATTTTATATATATTTTTTTTATTATTGCAGTGTATTCTGTGTTATTAAAGCAAGTGCAGCATCAAAAAAGTAATATTGGTTTCCTGCAAAATAAATGAAAAGCATTTGCATAGAGTAAAAAAAATTATATATGTACGTAAAGAGTAAACCTTCGATATAATGGGCCTTGATATAATGGACTTCTTAAATAATTAGGCAAAATCCACTGATTAAATTGTACTTTCAACTTGTATTATTTCAGTATGACCTTAGTGGGTTTAGCACTTAGTTATGATTGTAATAATAATAATAATATTACAGTATATCAATAAATTGTTTGTATGATACTACAATATATTAGGTATGTGTTAGAGTATTTTACTGCTTTTCCTGCAGTTGTTTAACATTTTACCAAGGGGTTCTTCATCAAGGAACTGGGCTTATCTTCCCCTTCCCTGGATTAACTCTGATCCTCCCCAGGTGCTCTATAACCTGTAAGGGCTTAGTACATCTCTCTGATACAAGAAACTGATGTAATGGACACTGAGAATCAAACCCATTAGCTGCTTCAGTACAGGTGCTCCTAGACTTACGATGGGGTTACATTCTGACGAACTCATCATAAGTCAACAAAATCGTAAGTTGAATATGAATATGATATGCTAAATATATAAGTAAATAAATAACTACTGTCACTGAATAAGTAAATAAACAAATAATTACTGTAGCTGACTAAATACCAGTATTGAAAAGTAAATACAGTGGATCCCCACTTTACGATCAGCTCCCAATGCGACCAATTATGTAAGTGTATTTATGTAAGTGCGTTTGTATGTGTATGTTTGGGGGTCTGAAATGGACTAATCTAATTCATAATATTCCTTATGGAAACAAATTCGGTCAGTACTGGCACCTGAACATACTTCTGGAATGAAATAATATTGTAAACCGGGGGTCCACTGTACGTGTAAATGAATAGAAGTTATGAACTTGCCGCCTTTATGCTGGGCAATTATCTTAAGTTTCATCTCCAAAGTAATTCTTGTGTACCATCGTGAAGTCAAAATATCGTAAGTCAATGAGCACCTGTATATCGAGGGTTTACTTATATATATATGTATATGTACATGTATACATATTGTTTTTTGTCACTCCTTTGACATTGAAATTAAAATTGGAGCTACCATTTCACTTCCTTGCTTCAAATCTAATTACCTCCCATTCCCCATTCACTGTATAACTTCTGGGTTTAGTGCCTCCCCATGAATATAATAATAGTGCACGATACATTGGTGCTGCTAGCTCTGCTAGATAATAAATATATATACTGTACATTTAACTGTACTGTGTGCTGCAATATTTCTTTGATCTAGTTTATAGCTTAAGCAATGTTACAGTTATGTTATGATTGTATAATGCTATAGAAACTGTGTTCACATGTTACTCTCATAAGTCTTCAGGTATAGGCTTGTATAAAACAAATTTAATATATGATCTCTCAAATAATATCAGCATAAATATATTGCACAGATGACTAGAAAGTATTGTTTGATTAATAGAGTGACTTGTTGGCTTTACAACTTTCATAAATATTGAAAAGAAAATATGTCATTAATATAATGTCACTTCTGCTTTTCTGCGAATGAACTGAATTCAAATATTACAATGTGTGGACTAATGCAAGTTTGTCCTGTATAGATTTCTTGTTGGGAGGAGACAGTATGTCCTAGTGATGGGTGGCACTACATCTCATGACACCAAGAGCAGTGCCACCAAGACACTACAATAGCAGATTAGTTTTAGCTATTTTTTTTTTTTTTTGATCATCTATGTATAAATAAAAATAATGAATTCCTCTCACATCCCATAATATATGCATCTACATATTTTGATATTTGGCCTTATTGTCATTGTAATTTTGTAATATTGGTTAATAACTGCAGTTTTATTAAAATACAATGATCCTCAGTATTGTCTAATGAATATTGTGCTTCTAATGCTACCATTACTCTAGGACTATAGTCACTCATCATTTAATATGTGAGATTTTCAGTCATCCCTTAAATTAACTTTTCACTCAAGGTTACAGGCAAAAACGATCATTCTTCATCCATACTAGAAGGTTATGATCTATGTCACAGCTCTACTGACTAACTGATCCAGCTCATCCAGATCTATTTCTGTTCTTTGCAGATCATGCAGGACTGTCACCACATTATGTCTACATCACTGACATGTTTCCAGTTCTTTTGATTCAGTGCAACATTGGACGGAATCCAACTTTGTTACAAAACAATGGACAGACTAAGTTTCTTAAACTAGGCTAAGAATAGTTGGACAGACATTTTTATCAATTTAACTTAATTATTGTTAGTTATTGTCATCAAAGCTTCTATATTTGTCTACACTTTCTCATTTTGCATGCAAAGGAAGGTTGCCCATTCACTCTTCCTTCATTATATTGCCTAATGACATGTTCTGTAATCTCTACCTGCAAAGAACCTTTTCTAAAGAATATGGCAAGCTTGTTTACGCATTCAATAAGTAAAGTAATATCCACTGGAAAATATCTTACAAACACATCTAGTGAACGATAGTTTAACATGGCTTGGTGAGCCCAAAACCTATACAGTACTTGACAAAATATGTTAGCTATCTCTGGAGCATTGTTAATGAGAAAGTTTTCCGAGTGTGATTAAATGCTGCAGACCTAAAATACTGGTAGTCACCTGCAATAACTTTTATGACACACAGTCTTCATTGTGGAAGAAAATGTTTAAGAGAACATATGAATGCATCAAATAATGTGATGAGAACAACAGAGGGCAACATTCCAATAATAGCTCTGACTCATACCTCAATGAGGTAATATTATTTATGTTGGCCTCTCTCATTCTTGTCACAAAGAGCAACATACAGATAATATCACTGCAGTGGGACTTTATGTCCATCCTTTAGGCTTGGGATTTGATAGGAAAATTAAAATTATTTGGGACTGAATCATAAATGAATGGGGCTTAATGAATGCCTGCCAAATGACTCGGTGATCATCTGTATTAATATTGTTCACCAGCCTTGACTTGAGGGAGAGCAGTTGCTCTACTTGCAAGAGTCCTCTGCCAACTGATATCAGATGATGTACTTTACCATAATGTATATCTTAAATAATGATAACCCAATGCCTCAATAAATAAAGTAAATTTCAGTATTTCTGACTAATTCCTTCCAACTGTACCACCATATTTTTACTGGAACAAGTACTTCTTGTATGATGCAATACTCTGAGATTCTACTGTACTGGTGATTATTATTTGGCATTATTGACTGCTGGCACTGTGTGGTGCTTGGATATAATGCTCGGTAATAGCATATTTGTCTTGCAGCTAAAAAGACCCAAACTGAATTCAGGGCATGTGGGTATGTCTCCAAATATCTGGTGCCCCTATTACCTAGCTGCAATTATACATGCTGTCCCTATTAGTAGCAAACACCTGCTGCCCCTGTTACCTAGCAGCAAATACCTGCTGCCCCTGTTACCTAGCAGCAAATACAGTGGACCCCCAGTATTCGATGGCATTGGTATTTGATAAATCCGGTATTCGATGCGTTTTAACGCAAAAATTTTGCCTCGGTATCCGATTGAAAACCCGGTATTCGATATGATTTGTACGAGACGTGTCCACGTGTGGCCTGAACTGCCCTGTGCGTGCCAGTGTGCACGCATCTAAGGATACATTCGGTACATTCCATATTATCACTGTTTTTGGTGCTTGTTTCTGCAAAATAAATCACCATGGGCCCCAAGAAAGCTTCTAGTGCCACCCCTGTGGTAAAAAGGGTGAGAATTAGTATGGAAATTAAGAAAGATTTTGAAGGGTTTGGGGCTAACCCTGAGAAGCCTATGCCAGTTGTGGAATCCATTGTGCCTACTTCAAAAATTAAGGAAATGTGTGCACAGTGGGTTGAACTGCAAACCTTTATGGATGAAAATCATCCTAACACAGCTATTGCAAGCCATGCTGGTGACTATTACAATGACAATGTTGTGGCCCATTTTAGGCAAATCGTAAAGGAACGGGAGGTACAGAGCTCTATGGACAGATTTGTTGTGCGACAGAGGTCCAGTGACTCTCAAGCTGGTCCTAGTGGCATTAAAAGAAGATGGGAAGTAACCCCAGAAAAGGACTTACTACCTCAAGTCCTAATGGAAGGGGATTCCCCTTCTAAACACTAACACCATCCACACTCTCCCCTCCTCCCATCCCATCAGTCATCACCAGATATTCAATAAAGGTAAGTGTCATGTAACTGTGCATGTCTTCTTCAGTTTGTGTGTATTAAAATTAATATTTCATGTCGTAAAATTTTTTTTTTTCATACTTTTGGGTGTCTTTCATGGATTAATTTGATTTCCATTATTTCTTATGGGGAAAATTGATTCGCTTTTCAATATTTTCGGTATTCGATGAGCTCTCAGGAACGGATTAATATCGAATACCGGGGGTCCACTGTACCTACTGCCCCTGTTACCTAGCAGCAAATACCTTCTCCCCCTGTTACCCAGCAGCAAATACCTGCTACCTCTGTTACCTAGCAGCAGATACCTGCTGCCTCTGTTACCTAGCAGCAAATACCTGCTAGCTCTGTTACCTAGCAGCAAATCTTTCCCAAACTGGGATACTTTATTGCCATGGCAGAGTTGTTAGTAGTATATTCCTAGGAGCAGGAGCCCCTTCTCTGGAAAAGGTGCCACTATCCACACAGGGTGCTTGCCTGACTGAGAACCCAGCATGTCTCTTGGCATAAATGGTGGGGATATTTTCTGTTTCATCTAAATATGCAGACATGGCTAGTGACACAAAATGAATTATGGATATGGCTTACGGAATGTGAAAATTGAATTTTAATAGTTTTACTTGCTTTTTGATTTTGATTTCTGTAATGTGATTGTGAATTGGTGACAACAGTAGCAAGGGGATAACAATAGTGTAAATTTGAAAATGTTGGAAATGGTATATGCTTAAAGCACTGCATAATTTTTATGGATTTTGCACCTTACTATGAATAATAATAATAGTAATAGTAATAATATTAGTAAATAATAATAATAATAATAATAATAATAATAAATAATTTCTGTGGTGTGTCATATCCTGGAGAAGGACCTGAGGACACAAGTGGATATAAGCCACTTTCTTTGTTTTTTTTTTAGATTATCCTGAATTATTAATTATCCAGGTTAGTATTCTGAAAAGACTTTTTGAATGCTTTCCCACAAATATAATAATACAGTAATAATATTTCAAATGCCTTTTACTAAGTTTTCAATTCCTTTTTTAATTGCATTATCATATTAGGTACAGTGTTGTGATACATATGTCAAACTCAACATGTTGATAAAATATTTCTACACTAGTTTAAGGTTTATAAATTCATTGTATTCTTGTAAAAGTCTGCCATAACAACTGTTCATCACTACGGGAGTTTTCATCAAGGGAATAAAATGTTAATTCATCCTTGTACCACTTTTGTTCTGTACCTCTTATTATTATTATTATTATTATTATTATTATTATTATTATTATTATTATTATTATTACTTTTCAATACACTGGCCATGTTCCACCGAGGCAGGGTGTCCTAAAAAGAAAAACAAAAGTTTTTAATAATAGTAATAGTAATAATAGTAGTAAATTTAAAAAGAAAAATGAAAGTTTTTCTTTTTAAATTTAGTAATATATACAGGGGAAGGGGTCACTATCCCCTTGCTCCCGGCATTTTAGTTGTTTCTTACGACACTCATGGATAACAGAGGTAGAATTATTTTCTGCTTCTTCTTTGAGAATTATTATTATTATTATTATTATTATTTTTTTTTTTTTTTTTTTTTTTCAACAAGTCGGCCGTCTCCCACCGAGGCAGGGTGACCCAAAAAAGAAAGAAAATCCAAAAAAAGAAAATACTTTCATCATCATTCAACACTTTCACCACACTCGCACATTATCACTGTTTTTGCAGAGGTGCTCAGAATACAACAGTCTAGAAGCATACACATATGAAGATACACAACATATCCCTCCAAACTGCCAATATCCCAAAACCCCTCCTTTAAAGTGCAGGCATTGTACTTCCCATTTCCAGGACTCAAGTCCGACTATATGAAAATAACCGGTTTCCCTGAATCCCTTCACTAAATATTACCCTGCTCACACTCCAACAGATCGTCAGGTCCCAAGTACCATTCGTCTCCATTCACTCCTATCTAACACGCTCACGCACGCTTGGTGGAAGTCCAAGCCCCTTGCCCACAAAACCTCCTTTACCCCCTCTCTCCAACCCTTTCGAGGACGACCCCTACCCCGCCTTCCTTCCCCTATAGATTTATATGCTTTCCATGTCATTCTACTTTGATCCATTCTCTCTAAATGACCAAACCACCTCAACAACCCCTCTTCTGCCCTCTGACTAATACTTTTATTAACTCCACACCTTCTCCTAATTTCCACACTCCGAATTTTTCTGTAAAATATTTACACCACACATTGCCCTTAAACAGGACATCTCCACTGCCTCCAACCGTCTCCTCGCTACTGCATTTACCACCCAAGCTTCACACCCATATAAGAGTGTTGGTACTACTATACTTTCATACATTCCCTTCTTTGCCTCCATAGATAACGTTTTTTGACTCCACATATACCTCAAAGCACCACTCACCTTTTTTCCCTCATCAATTCTATGATTAACCTCATCCTTCATAAATCCATCCGCCGACACGTCAACTCCCAAGTATCTGAAAACATTCACTTCTTCCATACTCCTCCTCCCCAATTTGATATCCAATTTTTCTTTATCTAAATCATTTGACACCCTCATCACCTTACTCTTTTCTATGTTCACTTTCAACTTTCTACCTTTACACACATTCCCAAACTCATCCACTAACCTTTGCAATTTTTCTTTAGAATCTCCCATAAGCACAGTATCATCAGCAAAAAGTAACTGTGTCAATTCCCATTTTGAATTTGATTCCCCAAAATTTAATCCCACCCCTCTCCCGAACACCCTAGCATTTACTTCCTTTACAACCCCATCTATAAATATATTAAACAACCATGGTGACATTACACATCCCTGTCTAAGACCTACTTTTACCGGGAAGTAGTCTCCCTCTCTTCTACACACACCCTAACCTGAGCCTCACTATCCTCATAAAAACTCTTTACAGCATTTAATAACTTACCACCTATTCCATATACTTGCAACATCTGCCACATTGCTCCTCTATCCACTCTATCATATGCCTTTTCTAAATCCATAAATGCAATAAAAACTTCCCTACCTTTATCTAAATACTGTTCACATATATGCTTCAATGTAAACACTTGATCTACACATCCCCTACCCACTCTGAAACCTCCTTGCTCATCCACAATCCTACATTCTGTCTTACCTCTAATTCTTTCAATTATAACCCTACCATACACTTTTCCTGGTATACTCAATAAGCTTATTCCTCTATAATTTTTACAGTCTCTTTTGTCCCCTTTCCCTTTATATAAAGGGACTATACATGTTATTATTATTATTATTATTATTATTATTCATGGTAAAAAATAAGAGTAAATTATTGTACCATACAAGACGTTCCAGTTCCTATATAAACGTACATAGTCCGTATACATAATTAATGTAGAGGAATACTACACATAGTTCATACCTTCAGTGTGAGAGCTGCCACTCTTCTTTAATGAAAGTGTTCATAATTTGGTAGATATTCCCAAGGTATATGCTTAGAAGGAGTCACATTCAAAAGAAAGCTTTCTCTCAAATTGCCTTCATTAAGAAGGCTCTCAAACAAAGATGTTCACTCAGAGGGCAGTCTCATGGAAGCAGTACAGTTCAGACACAGACAAACTCACAAGCACACTTTCCAGGAACCGAGGGACGGAGAGTAGGGTTCTCTTGTCGGACCTGGATGGATATAGACTGGACGGAGTGCAGGGTCTGGGCGCCTCACAGCATGGGACGGCAAGTTGGACAATAACACTAAAATGTTAATTTTACGAGAAGTTACACAAACTATATGACATCTATGGCCTTAGAAGTACGTGTACTGTACTGTATATAATGAAGTACAGTACAGTATGCTCTAATTTTCAAAAGATAAAATAATTTGATAGGTGACTAGATTAAGTATAGGGTAAATGCCATAGCAAACACGACTATATACATTCACAAACATGGCGCAAAAGACACTTATCAAACTAGTTTTAAGTATTTAACTAAATTAATTTAGAAGAATTCTTTTTCGTTTACATGTTACCGTATAAGAATGCATACAGGAACTGTTTTGTTTATTGTCACATTTTGGTCAAGAGAATTCTCTTTATATTATTCCTATCAACATTTGGACCAAGTGTTATAGCTTATGTGGAACGCAAACAGTTTATTTTAAAAGTACCGTGAGTGCTAAAGTTATTTGCTTTGTGCATTTTATTAGCAGTATTATTTCAAGCTCAAGAGAACTATGAACATTCTCCTTAATGCTCAGGCTATGGCACGACGAATTCAGGACTTCCCAAGAACACCCAAGGTGGAGTAACACCTTGGGCTCTCATTCACTCGGCACACTTTACACAATGACCCTTCAGAAGGTGTGCCTTCATTCTGGTGAAGGGCTCTTGACTCAAGAAATTGGAGCTATCCTTGGATCTAACCTGATTAATTCCCATTATCTAGGTGCTGTATGAATGCTAAGAGCTTAGCATTCCCCCCTCGAATATTATAATAATACAAGGAGATTATTATAACCAGTATACACAATGTAATGTATGAATGTATAAGAGGGATTCTTACTTTGTATCTTCAAGATAATTCCACTTTGAACACAGTCAAGAATAAGGATATGACTAGATTGTTCTGACTAGTTCTGATGAGTCCTGGTGAGTTAAGAACGAGTAAAGAATTGCTGATTTTGTAAAACTTTCTGCAAAATTAAAAGGACTAACTTACAAAACTTATCAGGAACTTTACTATAAAAGCATTCTATAAGTTTAATCCAAGTTACCTGATTTTAAATTCATAAGTTCAGGTGCTCACTTTACATAAACAGTTAAAATGTTATACTGTAACTAGTGCTCACTTTGCTGACAATACAGTTATTCTAACCTTCTATACACTATATTCATAGTTTTATCCAGTTTTCAGCATAACTAAACACATTTGGCTATTTTACAAACCATCCAAGTCTATAAGGTTATCTAAGTCAAGATTAGCATCAAGCAAGGATAAAGTCTTGGCTTCATCCCATCCTGAGTCAGAACCCCAGCATGCGTGAGCATCTTGCACTAACACTGGTGCAGCAGATGGTTCCAGGGGTGTAAGCTGTGTTAAACTACTGCAAAATGTGTTCATGGACGGAAGCTCTCCATACCCTCCTTTGTTCCAATTTCCACTATTGTTGATGTCAAGGGAAGAAGTTAGAGACTCTGCATCATCATTAGATGCCTCAGAATATTCGGGACTGGTGAAAAGGTCCTCCTCTACCCCAAGTGATGCGGGACTGAGTTCCAGTGATGGTAATGTTGGAGGTGTGTTGGTGGAGGTGGTGATGGTGACAATCTGATGGTGATGAGGACTTTGATGGTCACATGGGTGAAGATGATGATCATGGAGATTTTGGTGATGGTGGTGCTGGTGATGATGTTGCGTAGAAGTGTTGGTTGTTATTGTGGTGGGGTAGGTAGATGGATCACCAGTCTGACCAAGATCCGTCACTAATTCTTGGGCTCTACATGGCCAGGAGTCATCGTGGACTTCCTCCCCAAGTAGTGTGGACCACACCAATTCTTCTTCCACTTCGACACCTGAAAAATTTAGTTTAACATGAATAAAAAAATTCTTATCTAAACATTTGAAAATATAGGCTGAAGAGCTTAAAATATTAACATTCAGAAAGTAGTCTCCACTTGTAAAAAAAAAAAAGAAATAGCTAATAGAGCCAGACTACATTATCTCACCTTGTATGTCATTGTGAATAATTGCATTATAATAATTTGTTTACAAAAGACTACATGTACATCTTAGTATTTTTTGTCTCATAAAAATATAATTCAACATATATAGTATTTGAATTACATTGGTTTACAGAATTAAACTTGAACTCAATTTTTTCTCTGAATAAATAATTGCCTAAAGTAGCATTTATAAGCGTTGAAGATTAAATGTCATTCTGTATATGGTAGTTGCATTTTATTTTGTCAATACCCTATACCAACATTATTAACATTGTCTATACACCTTCCATAGCTGTGGCCTTGTAGTCCTTTGATACTGGTGATGGGTTCCTGATCCATAGAATTGAAGCTACCCTACCCTTCCTGAGATCAAATCTAATTATCTGCCATTCCCCAGATACTGCATTACCCTTAAGAATTTTGCACTTCCCTATGAGAGTAATAATGTGGCATCAACTGACCTTCAGGGTTAAAGTGCAGGTTAGGGCGTGGAGGAGGTTTATTGGTGGGGGGCGGCATGAACGCTGCCTGTGCTGGCTGAACTACAACTTTTATACCCAGTGGTTGCGTTAACACTTGTTGCTGGTTCTGAGTGGGTAATCGCCTGTTCTTCTTGGATTTTGAGGGAGGAGGAAGTGTAGGTCGAGCTGGACGACGCTTCTTAAACACTCCATCCACGAGAGACTCTGCATACTCGGGATCGAGTCTCCAGAAGCCGCCTTTACCAGGTTCATCTTTATTCCGAGGCACCTTGAGGAAGCACTTGTTGAGGGAGAGGTTGTGGCGGATGGAGTTCTGGGTAGAAGAAGACACTCACTGCAGTGTGCATAAACAAGTGAAGACTAATAATAGCTAAAATAAACATACCACATGAACAAAAATATTATGGTTGATTTTCAATTTAGGGATCTTACACCAAACCAAAACAAAAGGCATCTTGAAAAACTGTAAATAATCTTCTGATGTTAAGAGGAAAGATTTCAGTAAAAATTTGGATAATTTAAGCCATATATCCATTTGGGTACAGTATTTTTTTTGAGTAGTGTATAATGATATACAGCACAGCATGACCCATAGGGGTTCAGTGCTTTTTGTAACTACTCTACAGTATAATATGTAACATTCAGTGCCTTTTGTGTGTGCAGTATAATAATATACTCCACTGTATGATCCATGTGGGTTTAGTGCTTTTCCATGGTTAACAATTTTAATCAAGAATGTGATATATTCCTGTGTGTGTACAGTCTAGGAGAAGCCAGACAGGACAGTACTGACTTGTGTGATATTCATGGTTCTAACTACCCTCTGAGGGGTTAGGTTAGGTAACACTCAACAGAAAAAAAAGGACCAAGTGTTTTCTGACGTAGGGGCTGTATGATCCTTGTAGGTTTAGCGCTTAGTTGTGATTGAAATAATAATGTTGACATAGGTCTTAGTCGTATGATGATCTGCCGCTGCAGCTTTTGGCCACCTGATTGAGGCCTTCCACTGACCTCCCCTCAAGGAAGGTTCCTTGATGTTGGTGAGGGGCTCTTGATTTAGGGAATTGGATCTGTGCTCCAGTTCCCCGAATTAAGCCTGAATGCCTTCCACATCCCCCCCCCCAGGCGCTGTATAATCCTCCGGGTTTAGCGCTTCCCCCTTGATTATAATAATAATAATAATTCCACTGACCTGCCTCTGCAGCTTTTGGTCACCTGTGATTACCATTCATTCCCAGGTGCTATATAACCTGGGAAAGTGCTATATGTCAGCACTTTCCAAAAATAGAATAATAATATATTTTATAGTGCAATAAGATCACAGTAAACAGGTGATTATCACAATATGCAAATCAACCACTGTGAAAAAAACATTATCAAGGAACAGTTCCTGATAATGTGAGAAATCATGAAAGAACTTGTAAGTTTACTATTTTTTCATAGCGGCTGTTACGCATATTTTACAACATATGTATCTAATAAGAAGACTGATGAAAGCGAAAGTAATGTTAAAAGACCTTGAAAGCCGAGTAAGTACTGTGGGATGTGTGAGGGTTTAGAGCTTCCCATGAATGGGTCTCCTTTCACTTCATGTGACAGCTACATTCCTGGCCCATAGTGCACACACCAAACCCATTATAACAAGTCAAACATTGGCATGAGTTCTGAGACTTGGAAAATTGGCTTTGACTCTACTGAAACAGTAATGCTAGAGGTGATCGAAGAAGTCGGAATTAGTCTGAACTACACTTTGAGTCATGAAAGAAGCTTTTGTCAATTATTCTGTCTGATATTAATGTAAAAACAGGAATTACCTCAATGATGATGATGAGAAAATAGGACTATTTAGTGTACATAAAGGGGAATAAGATTTAACTGGCTTGAGGACCTATGGCTTCTCAAAAAAAAAAAAAAATGAAAACTGTTTAGTAAAGCTATCAGCAAGAGCCTCGTTGATCAGGCTGTCAATACTAAAGTGTCTTCAGGGGATGTCAGTGTTGTGTGACCCATACGGGTTTGACACGTTTTTACATAAGATTATCTAAGTCTGGGAAGAAGGGAGAAAATTAGTGAGGATGGTTGTAGACGACAGTAAGTGATAAATGATGTAAAGCTCTACACGACCTTGTACCCCACCCCTTACCCATCCCTAGAACCCCATTACCTTCCCTTACCCATCACTAGAACCCCATTACCTTCCCTTACCCATCCCTAGAAACCCCATTACCTTCCCTTACCCATCACTAGAACCCCATTACCTTCCTTACCCATCCCTAGAACCCCATTACCTTCCCTTACCCATCACTAGAACCCCATTACCTTCCCTTACCCATCCCTAGAACCCCATTACCTTCCCTTACCCATCACTAGAACCCCATTACCTTCCCTTACCCATCCCTAGAACCCCATTACCTTCCCTTACCCATCACTAGAACCCCATTACCTTCCTTACCCATCCCTAGAACCCCATTACCTTCCCTTACCCATCCCTAGAACCCCATTACCTTCCCTTACCCATCCCTAGAACCCCATTACCTTCCCTTACCCATCCCTAGAACCCCATTACCTTCCCTTACCCATCCCTAGAACCCCATTACCTTCCCTTACCCATCACTAGAACCCCATTACCTTCCCTTACCCATCCCTAGAACCCCATTACCTTCCCTTACCCATCACTAAAACCCCATTACATTCCCTTACCCATCCCTAGAACCCCATTACCTTCCCTTACCCATCCCCAGAACCCCATTACTTCCCTTACCCCTCACTAGAACCCCATTACCTTCCCTTACCCATCCTAGAACCCCATTACCTTCCCTTACCCATCACTAGAACCCCATTACCTTCCCTTACCCATCCCTAGAACCCCATTACCTTCCCTTGCCCATCCCTAGAACCCCATTACCTTCCCTTACCCATCCCTAGAACCCCATTACCTTCCCTTGCCCATCCCTAGAACCCCATTACCTTCCCTTGCCCATCCCTAGAACCCCATTACCTTCCCTTACCCATCCCTAGAACCCCATTACCTTCCCTTACCCATCCCTAGAACCCCATTACCTTCCCTTACCCATCCCTAGAACCCCATTACCTTCCCTTACCCATCCCTAGAACCCCATTACCTTCTCTTACCCATCCCTAGAACCCCATTACCTTCCCTTACCCATCCCTAGAACCCCATTACCTTCCCTTACCCATCACTAGAACCCCATTACCTTCCCTTACCCATCCCTAGAACCCCATTACCTTCCCTTACCCATCCCTAGAACCCCATTATCTTCCCTTACCCATCACTAGAACCCCATTACCTTCCCTTACCCATCCCTAAGAACCCCATTACCTTCCCTTACCCATCCCTAGAACCCCATTACCTTCCCTTGCCCATCCCTAGAACCCCATTACCTTCCCTTACCCATCACTAGAACCCCATTACCTTCCCTTACCCATCCCTAGAACCCCATTACCTTCCCTTACCCATCACTAGAACCCCATTACCTTCCCTTACCCATCCCTAGAACCCCATTACCTTCCCTTACCCATCACTAGAACCCCATTACCTTCCCTTACCCATCCCTAGAACCCCATTACCTTCCCTTACCCATCCCTAGAACCCCATTACCTTCCCTTACCCATCCCTAGAACCCCATTACCTTCCCTTACCCATCCCTAGAACCCCATTACCTTCCCTTACCCATCCCTAGAACCCCATTACCTTCCCTTACCCATCACTAGAACCCCATTACCTTCCTTACCCATCCCTAGAACCCCATTACCTTCCCTTACCCATCACTAGAACCCCATTACCTTCCCTTACCCATCACTAGAACCCCATTACCTTCCCTTACTCATCACTAGAACCCGATTACCTTTCCTTTCCCATCACTAGAACCCCATTACCTTCCCTTACCCATCACTAGAAACCCCATTACCTTCCCTTGCATATCACTAGAACCCCATTACCTTCCCTTACCCATTACTAGAAACCCATTGCCTTCCCTTACCCATCACTAGAACCCCATTACCTTCCCTTACCCATCACTAGAACCCCATTACCTTCCCTTACCCATTACTAGAAACCCATTGCCTTCCCTTACCCATCACTAGAACCCCATTACCTCCCTTACCCATCACTAGAACCCCATTACCTTCCCCTACCCATCACTAGAACCCCATTACTTTTCCCTTCCCATCACTAGAACCCTATTACCTTCCCTTACCCACCACTAGAACCCCATTACCTTCCCTTACCCATCACTAGCACCCCATTACCTTCCCTTACCCATCATTAGAACTCCATTACCTTCCCTTACCCATCACTAGAACCCCATTACCTTCCCTTACCCATAACTAGAATCCCATTACCTTCCCTTACCCATCACTAGAACCCCATTAACTTCCCTTACCCATCACTAGAACCCCATTACCTTCCCTTACCCATCGCTAGAACCCAATTACCCTCCCCTACCCATCACTAGAACCCCATTACCTTCCCCTACCTATCACCAGAATCCCATTACCTTCCCCTTACCCATCATTAGAACCACATTACCTTCCCCTACCCATCACTAGAACCCCATACCTTCCCCTACCCATCACTAGAACCCCATTACCTTCCCCTACCCATCAATAGAACCCCATTACATTCCCCTAACCATCACTAGAACCCCATTACCTTCCCCTTCCCATCACATCAACCCCATTACCATCCCTTACCCATAACTAGAACCCCATTACCTTCCCTTACCTATCACTAGAACCCCATTACCTTTCCTTACCCATCACTAGTACCCCATTACCTTCCCTTACCCATCACTAGAACCCCATTGCCTTCCCTTACCCATCACTAGAACCCATTAACTTCCCTTACCCATCACTAGAACCCATTACCTTCCCCTATCCATCACTAGAACCCCATTACCTTCCCTTATACATCACTAGAACCCCATTACCTTTCCCTACCCATCACTAGAACCCCATTACCTTCCCCTACTCATTACTATAACCCCATTACCTTCCCCTACTCATTACTATAACCCCATTACCCTCCCCTACCCATCGCTAGAACCCCATTAACTTCCCTTACCCATCACTAGAACCCCATTACCTTCCCTTACCCATCACTAGAACCCCATTACCTTCCCCTACCAATCACTAGAACCCCATTACCTCCCCATACCCATCACTAGAACCCCATTACCTTCCTTTACCCATCAGTAGAACCTCATTACCTTCCCCTACCCATCATTAGAACCCCATTACCTTCCCCTACCTATCACTAGAACCCCATTACTTCCCCCATACCCATCACTAGAA